TGACAGAGCTGGTGTAACTGAGTCAGGTTTGTAGGCCTCTTTGTTCGCACACGCTTTTTCAGTTCTGCCCACAAATTGTCTATAGGAATGAGGTCAGGGCTTTGTGATGGCCACTCCAATACCTTGACTTTGTTGTCCTTAAGCCATTTTGCCACAACTTTGGAAGTATGCTTGGGGTCATTGTCCATCTGGAAGACCCATTTGCGACCAAGCTTTAACTTCCTGACTGATGTCTTGAGATGTTGCTTCAATATATCCACATAATTTTCCTTCCTCATGATGCCATCTATTTTGTGAAGTGCACCAGTCCCTCCTGCAGCAAAGCACCCCCACAGCATGATGCTGCCACCCCCGTGCTTCACGGTTGGGATGGTGTTCTTTGGCTTGCAAGCAGCCCCCTTTTTCCTCCAAACATAACAATGGTCATTATGGCCAAACAGTTCTATTTTTGTTTCATCAGACCAGAGGACATCTTTGTCCCCATGTGCAGTTGCAAACGTAGTCTGGTTTTTTTATGGCGGTTTTGGAGCAGTGGCTTCTTCCTTGCTGAGCGGCCTTTCAGGTTATGTCGATATAGGACTTGTTTTACTGTGGATATAGATACTTTTGTACCAGTTTCCTCCAGCATCTTCACAAGGTCCTTTGCTGTTATTCTGTGATTGATTTGCACTTTTCACACCAAAGTACGTTCATCTCTAGGAGACAGAACGCGTCTCCTTCCTGAGCGGTATGACGGCTGCGTGGTCCCATGGTGTTTATACTTGCGTACTATTGTTTGTACAGATGAACGTGGTACTTTCAGGCATTTGGAAATTGCTCCCAAGGATGAACCAGACTTACGGAGGTCTACAATTTTTTTGCTGAGGTCTTGGCTGATTTATTTTCATTTCCCCATGATGTCAAGCAAAGAGGCACTGAGTTTGAAGGTAGGCCTTGAAATACATCCACAGGTACACCTCCAATTGACTCAAATGATGTCAATTAGCCTATCAGAAGCTTCTAAAGCCATGACATCATTTTCTGGAATTGTCCAAGCTGTTTTAAAGGCACAGTCAACTTAGTGTATGTAAACTTCTGACCCACTGGAATTGTGATACAGTGAATTATTAGTGAAATAATCTGTCTGTAAACAATTGTTGGAAAAATTACTTGTGTCATGCACAAAGTAGATTTCCTAACCAACTTGCCAAAACTCTAGTTTGTTAACAAGAAATTTGTGGAGTGGTTGAAAAACGAGTTTTAATGACTCCAACCTAAGTGTATGTAAACTTCCAACTTCAACTGTAGGTCCCGTGTAGCTCAGTTGGTAGAGCATGGCGTTTGCAACGTCAGGGTTGTGGGTTTGATTCCCACGGGGGGCCAGTATGAAAAAGTATGGAAAATGTATGTACTCACTAACTGTAAGTCGCTCTGGATAAGAGTGTCTGCTAAATTATTCAAATGTAAAAAATATTATATCCAATGGGTGCATGGCCCACAAACACAGTGGTGGAAAAAGTACCCAATTGTCATACTTGAGTAAAAGTATAGATACCTTAATAGAAAGTTACTCAAGTAAAAGTCACCCAGTAAAATACTCCTTGAGTAAAAGTCTAACAGTATTTTGTTCTAAATATACTTAGGTATCAAAAGTAAAAGTATAAATCATTTCAAATTCCTTATATTAAGCAAAGCAGATGGCACCATTGTCTTGTTTTAAAAATGTACTGATAGCCAGGGGTACACTCCAACACTAAGACATCATTTACAAACGATACATGTGTTTAGTGAGTCTGCCATATCAGAGGCAGTAGGGATGACCATGTGTTCTCTTGATAAGTGCGTGAATTGGACCATGAAAAATAAGTCTTAATCTTGTTGATGTACGGTTATAAAACCTCGCGAACAGATTTCAACCAGAAAAATACGTCTTTAGCACGCCGTATGCCCTCGAGCATACAGTTTGCAGGCAGTGCAGCCCTATGAATGATTAAAGACTAAATTCATATTTAACTATATTGATCAATGTATCTAGGACTGAACAATGATGGGTCAGATATTAAATAGATTAGGGATTTAGTCGGCCTCTTGACTTGATCTCCTGATCTACACTGATAGATTTGAAAACAATAGCACACTTGCTTTCATTATTGCATCCATTCACCGCTGAAATCAAACTAGCAGACTGTAGTTGTTGTTATTGAGCATTGTCATAAATACATTTTGCATAATAATAATAAAAAAATCAGCCTCATTCTAGGTTCAAATGTCAGCTAAACAGAGGTGCTTTTTCCCACCGACAATCGCTTACCGAGCATGGAGAAAATGAAATCCTTGGCTGTGTGGATCTCGAGCGCTCGCTGGTCGTCATATTCTCGCTGATCGTGTTTACTCAATTCCTGAATCAATCGGTTCAAATCCTCAATTCTGGCCCCGGACCTGAAATCGAGCTCGGGGTAGCTTGGGATGATCTTGTTGTTATTGTTCGTGGAGCTGGGAGTCGCAGTGGGGCTGTTTCCCAAGCTATTTACGGACCCAGCCCGGCTGGTTAGAGCAGGGGCCGCCATGTTTGCAAGAAAAAACAGCACGGTGAACGCAGGCGTCCCAGGGTCCCACAGTGGCTACCTTGGCTTCAGTACAGAACATCAGCCGCTACTTGCACCAAACAAATCGGAGGTCATTTAAATTGTATGCGGGGTGTGTAAAGTGGTCTCCCTTTGGCTCTCATCAGCGTGACTGTTGGTGATGGTCTATCGAATCGTAGGCAAAGTAATTGTCATAGTTAGTGTGAAAGTGATACAAATCTAAAGTCAAGTCGTCGCTTACTCTGCTCCTCCAGAGCGACGAAGGAATTGTGCTGGCGCATTTATGTAGCTGATAAATTGCCCAGCCTATTATAGACATCTGTTTGGAAGATTAGATGTTTGAGATTTTTTCACTATTTAAACACACCAAGTAAAAACAGCTCTCACTGTAACATATTTACTTTGAAAATATTAGCTATTGTTAGAAAAATGTTTAAAATTGTCAGAATATTTTTGAAAGAAACATGACATCATGAAATTCTATTATAGAAAAACACACTGTACTATGCTGTCATGTCCCTGCTTTTCCACTAGTTGACCCCAGTCAGTTCTGTGGTTAAGGGTAGAAGGGATCCAGCTTTTCTTCAGATGTAACTTTTCGTAGCAGGTTAGAATAATTAACGTAGCACATAAGGAGAATTAGGAAAAGGGTTAGCTAAAATTCAAAAATATTCCACTTGACGTAAATTTGACAAAAGCTGGAAACCTTCTAGCCATGACCCAGTTCTGTTTGGCTGTTTTAGACTGTTGACCCGGTATCGAATGTAGGAGGGGTCATTCTGGTTACTCGCTCACAAACATGGCGTGGAGGGGGTGCGTTTTAAGATGGGCTAGGGAGGACATTATTAGTACAGCAACCAGAGGAAACAGGTATGGTGTACGATATGCATTTTGCCCATCGCTGCGATCTTCAACGAGCTTGACCACTGATATATGTATTGTCATTCTAGAAAATATATCTAAAACTCAGCTAGCGGCTGCCAGAGCTAGCTACTTTAGGTTATCAAGATGATGAACAGCTGATCACTTTGAGATATGTTGCTAGTGGTGCCACAGTCCACTAGTCTTTGCAACCTGTCAATTCACAATTGTGGTAATATCTGTGGCTGCTCGTTACTTCAGTCTTCCCATTGAATTATTGTTTGTGGTAATATCTGTGGCTGCTTGTTACTTCAGTCTTCCCATTGAATTATTGTTTGATGAGTTGGACTTAGGCTATTCTTTTGTGCCATTTAACTCCCAAACGTCCTTTGTTGTTGTTGACAAATTCTGGCATGTAAATATGAAAGCATTACCAGCTGACTTACCTGTGTTCATTTACAGTTAGCACAGTGTTTCTTAATCCTGGTCCTGGGCAGTGGTGGTTACTCATACTTGAGTAAAAGTATAGATACCTTAATAGAAAGTTACTCAAGTAAAAGTGAAAGTCACCCAGTAAAATACTACTTGAGTAAAAGTATTTGGTTCTAAATATACTTAAGTATCAAAAGTAAATGTAATTGCTAAAATATACTTAAGTATCAAGTATAAATCATTTCAAATTCCTTATATTAAGCAAAGCAGACGGCACCTTTTTCTAGTTTTTAAAATGTACGGATAGCCAGGGGTACACTCAGACATCATTTGCAAATGATGCATTTGCGTTTAGTGAGTCTGACCGATCAGAGGCAGTAGGGATGACCACGTGTTCTCTTGATAAGTGTGTGAAATTGACAATTTTCCTGTCCTGCTAAGCATTCAACATGTAACGAGTACTTTTGGGTGTCAGGGAAAATGTATGGAGTAAAAAGTACATTATTTTCTTTAGGACTGTAGTAAAGTAAAAGTTGTCAAAAATATACATAGTAAAGTAAAGGTACAGATACCCCAAAAAACTACTTAAGTAGTATTTTTACTTGAGTACTTTACGCCACTGGTCCTGGGGACCCAAAGGGTTACACATTTTTGTTTTTGCCCTAGCACTACACACCTGGGGTGTGTTCATTAGCAACAGCAGTAGCAAAAAGTTTTGCACTGTTGCAAAAGGTTTTGCAATGGAAAATATTTTGCAACGAAAATAAGTTACTATTCGACAAAATTCAGGTAGGCCGTCCCTCCCCGTTCCATTCGTTTATGTTTGCCTCCGTTTGGTTCCCTTTGGTTCCTAGTGAATACACCCCGGATTCCACTTATCGCTCATCATCAAACCTTTTATCAGTGGAAGCAGGTAGTGCGAGGGCAATAGCTCCACTCCCCAGGACCAGGATGAAAAAAGACTGATTAAGCAGACGCTCTTATCCAGAGCAACTTAGTCAGTCAGTGAGTAAGTTCCTCCGTTTACTTTCAAAATCACTTGTCTTTTCTCTAGAAAGAGGATTCAAACCATTTCTCCTTTTACTCAGATGTTATTATAGCTAACTCATTGACCAATCATCTATCTCGTACTCTTCCCTGTTTATGCTTTTTCCTAGATTCACCCTCAACACTCAACAGAGATGTGGCTTCAGGAAAGCAGCGAAGGAGACAACGACCAAGAAGGGGGCCTTAGAGGAGACTGGGCCTTTACACACAGAGCCCATTGAAGGGCTCATCCACAGGAGGGGTGCATCTCCCCACGTGGAGCCCTCAGTGGAATACACACACCCCAGGCACTTTGGCAGACTGGTCAAGCCCCTGGTGTTCACAATAGGGGTAGGTATTTAGGTATTTCGTTAACTAAACAAGCACTACTCAATAAACTATACTACAACACAGTACACTAGAACTGTATTACCTGTTACACACTGAACAACTATTACTGTTTCAATCACAGAGACCTCTATAAGTCTATTGCCAGATTCAGCACAGCACTGATGGAATAAGGGGGACTAACACCATGTTAGTTCACAGCCTGTTCATTTGGCACAGCGGCCATCTGGCAGTATGAGTCACTAAAGTCCCGGGTCCAGAGCTACGTTAACGAGGTCCGGGCAGACTGGCTGGAGAAACTATGGCCGCAGAAACGGGGATCTTCGCAAATGGGTGAGATGAAGGATGGGTCAAAACATGCATGATGTTGGGTTGATCCTTTTTTTTTATACCATGCCTCATTATTTTGTATACATCTTTATTGATACAGTGAGGGAAAAAAGTATTTGATCCCCTGCTGATTTTGTACGTTTGCCCACTGACAAAGAAATGATCAGTCTATAATTTTAATGGTAGGTTTATTTGAACAGTGAGAGACAGAATAACAACAAAAAAATCCAGAAAAACACGTCAAAAATGTTATAAATTGAGTTGCATTTTAATAAGGGAAATAAGTATTTGACCCCCTCTCAATCAGAAAGATTTCTGGCTCCCAGGTGTCTTTTATACAGGTAACGAGCTGAGATTAGGAGCACACTCTTAAAGGGAGTGCTCCTAATCTCAGCTTGTTACCTGTATAAAAGACACCTGTCCACAGAAGTAATCAATCAATCAGATTCCAAACTCTCCACCATGGCCAAGACCAAAGAGCTCTCCAAGGATGTCAGGGACAAGACCTACACAAGGCTGGAATGGGCTACAAGACCATCGCCAAGCAGCTTGGTGAGAAGGTGACAACAGTTGGTGCGATTGTTCGCAAATGGAAGAAACACAAAATAACTGTCAATCTCCCTCGGCCTGGGGCTCCATGCAAGATCTCACCTCGTGGAGTTGCAATGATCATGAGAACGGTGAGGAATCAGCCCAGAACTACACTGGAGGATCTTGTCAATGATCTCAAGGCAGCTGGGACCATAGTCACCAAGAAAACAATTGGTAACACACTACGCCGTGAAGGACTGAAATCCTGAAGCGCCCGCAAGGTCCCCCTGCTCAAGAAAACACATATACAGGCCCGTCTGAAGTTTGCCAATGAACATCTGAATGATTCAGAGGAGAACTGGGTGAAAGTGTTGTGGTCAGATGAGACCAAAATCGAGCTCTTTTGCATCAACTCAACTCGCCGTGTTTGGAGGAGGAGGAATGCTGCCTATGACCCCAAGAACACCATCCCCACCGTCAAACATGGAGGTGGAAACATTATGCTTTGGGGGTGTTTTTCTGCTAAGGGGACAGGACAACTTCACCGCATCAAAGGGACGATGGACGACGCCATGTACCGTCAAATCTTGGGTGAGAACCTCCTTCCCTCAGCCAGGGCATTGAAAACGGATCGTGGATGGGTATTCCAGCATGAGAATGACCCAAAACACACGGCCAAGGCAACAAAGGAGTGGCTCAAGAAGAAGCACATTAAGGTGCTGGAGTGGCCTAGCCAGTCACCAGACCTTAATCCCATAGAAAATCTGTGGAGGAAGCTGAAGGTTCGAGTTGCCAAACGTCAGGCTCGAAACCTTAATGACTTGGAGAAGATCTGCAAAGAGGAGTGGGACAAAATCCCTCCTGAGATGTGTGCAAACCTGGTGGCCAACTACAAGAAACGTCTGACCTCTGTGATTGCCAACAAGGGTTTTGCCACCAAGTACTAAGTCATGTTTTGCAGAGGGGTCAAATACTTATTTCCCTCATTAAAATGCAAATCAATTCATAACATTTTTGACATGCGTTTTTCTGGATTTTTTTGTGGTTATTCTGTCTCTCACTGTTCAAATAAACCTACCATTAAAATTATAGTCTGATCATGTCTTTGTCAGTGGGCAAACATACAAAATCAGCAGGGGATCAAATACTTTTTTCCCTCACTGTACATTATACAGGAAATTTTTCATTTTGCTGTCACAGTACCCAGCCTCTCCCCACAACATACACATACAGTACAACAGGCTGTGATCAGAACAGGGGCCCTGGAACAGAGGTTAGGGGTTATAGTCTCTCTGCCATTTGTAACTGAATGGGATATGAGGGTTACGAGGAACAATTCTTCCAGTGATTATTTGGACTAATTATGATTTTGCGGGGCTGGCGTCTTTCAAGTTTCATAAGGAAAAGGGTTGATTTGGCCCAAAGATGGACGAGGATTTCAGAAGAGTGGTGTGGACTTTGCCACTCACACTAGGCCAAATATCTCAATGCTCTCTCTTCTTGCTGAACTGTTGTCACTGATGTCTTAGCGAGTTGATTCCCTATGCTGGGTCGTGTTCATTACTACACACAACGGAAAATGTTTAAAAACATTTTGCAACAGAAAACTAAAATGTACATTTCTTATTGGACCAGGTTGTCCCTCCCTGTTTCAGTCATTTTTATTTTGTTTGGTGTCTAATGAACACGACCCAGGTTTCACCACATTGTGTGGGTGTTTTTTCAGACCGGTTCTGTTTCTGTTACAGATCAACCAGTGGTGGAACAGCTTGAGTGAGGGCCAACATACTGTTACAGGTTAGTCTGTACTGAAGCCCATAGATTTTGTTTTCTTGTGTCCTCTCAATAGTAACTAGTTGATACAGATATTGTGAGATCACTACTACTCTCTCTATCTCAAGATACCGTATTTTCCGCACTATAAGGCGCACTTAAAAGCCTTTAATTTTCTAAAAGAACGACAGTGCGCCTTATAATCCGGAGCGCCTTATATATGGATCAATTGGTTAATTGGTTGATCCATACTGGTTGTACACGGCGCTCAAGGCGCTCTGTCAAAATGTTTCAGTATGAAAAACCAATAAAAACAATTTAATAATAATGAAATGTTTCAGTACGACTGGTAAACTACAAAGCCGCACCGCTTGCAGCATTACGGCTACCGTAGTCAGTAAACACCGGTACTGTGCTTACTCACAATCCCACACCACTTGTGTGTGTGTATAAAGACCCCAAAATGGCACCTTTCAAGAGACACGCTTACGATGCAGAGTTCAAGCTCAAGGCTGTCGGTCACGCAGTAGAATATGGGAATAGAGCAGCAGCGAGAGAATTCAACATTAATGAATCAATGGTACGGAAGTGGAGGAAGCAAGAAGATGACCTGCGCCAAGTAAAGAAGACTAAACAGAGTTTCCGAGGGAACAAAGCGAGATGGCCACAGTTAGAGGACAAACTCGAACAGTGGGTTGTTGAACAGAGAGCAGCAAGTAGAAGCGTCTCTACAGTCACTATTCGAATGAAGGCAACAGCGCAAGCACGGGACATGATCATCGATGAATTTCGAGGCGGTCCTTCTTGGTGCTTTCATTTTATGAAAAGACGTAATCTCTCCATCCGCACACGAACTACCGTCTCGCAGCAACTGCCAAAAGATTACCAAGAAAAGCTGGTCACTTTCCGCGCATACTGCAAAAAGAAGATCACTGAAAAGAAGATCCGGCCAGAGCACATCACCAACATGGACGAGGTTCCACTCACCTTTGATATTCCCGTGAACCGCACTGTGGAGAAAACGGGGACCAGTACGGTGTCTGTACGCACCACAGGGAATGAGAAGTCATCCTTCACTGTAGTTCTCGCCTGCCAGGCTAATGGCCAGAAACTTCCACTCATGGTTATTTTCAAGAGGAAGACCTTGCCAAAAGAAAACTTTCCAGCCGGCGTCGTCATCAAAGCTAGCCCGAAGGGATGGATGGATGAGGAAAAGATGAGTGAGTGGCTGAGAGAAATTTATGTCAAGAGACCGGGTGGCTTTTTCCACACAGCTCCGTCCCTATTGATCTACGACTCAATGCGCGCCCATATCACCGATGCTGTCAAAAAACAAGTGAAGCAAACTAATTCGGAGCTTGCCGTCATTCCGGGTGGATTCACTAAAGAACTCCAGCCGCTAGATATTGGTGTCAACAGGGCGTTCAAAGCTAGACTGCGAGCTGCGTGGGAGCAGTGGATGACAGAAGGCGAACACACGTTCACCAAGACGGGGAGACAGCGCCGGGCGACTTACGCCACTATCTGCCAGTGGATCGTGGATGCCTGGGCTGATATATCAGTCTCAACTGTGGTCAAAGCTTTCACGAAGGCAGGAATAATCTCTGAACTGCCAGGCAACAGCAGCGACACTGACTCGGATAATGAGGAGAGGGAGCCGGGCAGGTTGGATGCCGTAGTCGCCCAACTGTTCAATTCGGACACTGAAGAAGAAGAATTCGAGGGATTCGTGGACGGGGAATGAACTGAAAAAGTGAGCTTTACGTGTTATACGTAACTGAACAATGTTGAGTTATGCACTAACGTTTGATTTAGTGGTATCAGACTGTTTCTTTTACTACGTGTTTACTGAATCAGGGAAAAGTTCCCCTCCACGTTTGGGAGAAGAGTGAGCAAGGCTGGGAGATATTGTTAATATGCACATTAACGTTTGAACAACGTTACCATGGGAGTGAACGGAGTTGTCAGAACGCTTAATAAAGTTTGACTTTATCTGACTGTTTTGTTGACATTCCCTTTAGCACAGCTCCATCTAGTGGATGCATAACGCAACCCCAGTCAAACGTTTGACTGCAGTATCTTCTATTCTATGCGCTTTATAATCCGGTGCGCCCTAAATATGAAAACAGTTCTAAAATAGGCCATTCATTGAAGGTGCGCCTTATAGTGCGGAAAATACGGTAATATATACTTTTTGTCCGTACGAGACAGAAATGTACTCAACCACTTCGATACACATAAACACACATTAGGTTGGAAAGGCTGGAGCAGAGGGCAGTCGCATTGCAGTGCCCAATGAGCAGTTTAGGGGTTTAGGTTCCTTGCTCAAGGGAACATCCCCCCAATCTCTTTCATTATCCACTAATCTCTCTCTCATCTCTCATTCATTATGTATTTTTCTACTCCTCTCCTCCTCTCTCTCAGGGATCATAGCTGCTAATGCTGTGGTGTTTTGCTGTTGGAGAGTACCATCCCTCCAGCGCTCACTGATCAAATACTTCACATCCAACCCTGCCTCCAGTGAGTAGGGGAAACTGTCCTATCATCTCAAATGACAAATACACTTAACTTGATCTCTGCCTCAGGAGGCGTTAATAGTAATCAAGTGTCATGATTAGGTCGCTGAGTTTTTCTTCAAAACGTGACCTGACCAGGAAAATCTCCGGGGCCCTTGTTATAGGCTATAGTTTTTCCTTGTCAGGTCACATGGTCAGGCAAAACTAGGGGCCCTAATCATGACACTTTATTACTATTAAAACGGACAGAGGCAGAGATCCAGTTTATTTGACATATGTAATAAATAAATATTAAAAAATCGACTCACCTAAGCTCTTACAGTAAAAACGGCATTAAAAATAAATATTAACAAATATACAGCCTCTATAGACAGATTATAATCTGAAAAGACTTGTCCAATAAGAAATAGTGCACACAGTAGCAAACCCTAGCGAAACATTTTGCAATGAAAATATTTCTTATAGGACAAATTCAGGTAGATCCCTCCCCGTTCCTAATGAACACGTCCCTGATCTCCTCCTCCTCCTGTCTGTGCCCTACCCACAGAAACCCTGTGTTTCCCCATGCTCCTGTCCACGTTCAGCCACTACTCCATCTTCCACATGGCGGCCAACATGTACGTCCTCTGGAGCTTCTCCTCCAGCGTCGTCTCCATGCTAGGCAGGGAGCAGTTCATGGCCGTCTACATGTCTGCAGGTACCAGCACGTGTGTGTGAGAGACAGAAACGTTAGAATGTAATAGACAGATTAATAGACTTATTTTCAGATAAATAATTAATCATCTCCTCATTGCCAGGTGTTATCTCTACGATGTTCAGCTATGCGTGTAAGACAGCCAGCGGGCGCTTAGGTCCCTCTCTTGGAGTGGTAAGCACCAACATTTTAGACTTCCTGTGTTATTCCCCTTTACTTCCTGTCTCTAACATCGCTTCCTGTTCACTTCCTGCCCTCTCCAGTCAGGAGCCATCATGACAGTCTTGGCTGCCGTTTGTACCAAAATGCCAGAGGCTAAGCTGGCAATCATCTTCCTCCCCATGTATGCATTCTCTGGAGGCAATGTGAGTGAACAACCCTTACAGCACACTTAACCACACAGAGGCTACATTCCGATTTTCTACCCATCTCCAGAAGTGTGCACTCAAGCATTTAAAGGAAAGTTTGACAATATTTCAACTTCAAATTCATCATCTCCAGCACTACCCCAACATCAACATATGTAAAAATGGTGCGTTTCTATGTTTTGTAGTAAAAAATATGGAGAAAGATAAGTGTTTCCAGTGAACTCATCAACCAATTAGTAGACAATTAGTAGGCAATGCCTACTCACAATTGGTAAAAATCACACAAAAAATACCAATGATGTCATTGGAAACACTTATCTTCCTCAGTCTTTTTTACTACAAAACATAGAAATGCACCATTTTCACATATGTTATTGATGGGGTGGTGCTGGAGATGATGAATATGAATACAATTCTGAAGTTTCCCTTTAAAAGTATTGGATTGGTGCAAGCTTGGATGGAGGGAGTTTTCACCATATTCCTCATACCCATGAGGGGGAGTGTACTAAGGCTGGGAATTGCCAGGCACCTCACAATACAATATTATCATGATACGATATGTATTGCGATTCGATACTTTGATTGTATTGCGATTCGATGTTCCAAACATATGTCTGCTGCAGAGGGACAAGAGAGCCATGAGAAAATAAGTTTTGATCAGTCATGGAAATAAAAGTGCTGAAATCATAAGTGCTCGTTCCCTATTTAAAAAGAAGATGCTAAGAAGACCAAGCTATGAAGGAAAAATACTGGAATTCTGGTGCAGGTACAGCAAACTAATGCAAAAATAATATTGCGATATTGTCAAAATGATACGTTATATGGTAAAAAATAATATCCCAATATGTAACTATACTGAACAAAAATATAAACGCAACATGTAAAGTGTTGGGCCCATGTTTCATGAGCTGAAATAAATGGTCCCAGAAATGTTCCAGGTGCACAAAAAGCTTATTTCTCAGATTTGTTTACATCCCTGTTAGTGAGCATTTCTCCTTTGCCAAGATAATCCATCCACCTGACAGGTGTAGCATATCAAGAAGCTGATTAAGCAGCATGATCATTACACAGGTGCACCTTCTGCTGGGGACAATAAAAAGCCACTCTAAAATGTGCAGTTTTGTTACACAACACAATGCCACAGATGTCTCAAGGTTTGAGGGAGCGTGCAATTGGCATGCTGACTGCAGGAATGTCGTTCAGAGCTGTTGCCAGAGAATTGTATGTTCATTTCCCTACCATAAGCCGCCTCCAACGTCGTTTTAGAGAATTTGGCAGTACGTTCAACCGGCCTCACAACCGCAGACCACGTGTAACCACGCCAGCCCAGGACCTCCACATCCAGCTTCTTCACCTGTCTGAGACCCCGGACAGCTGAAGAAACTGAGGAGTATTTCTGTCTGTAATAAAGCCCTTTTGTGGGAAAAAACCCATTCTGATTGGCTGGGCCTGGCTCCCCAGTGGGTGTGCCTGGCTCCCAAGTGAGTGGGCCTATGCCCTCCTAGGCCCACCCATGGCTGCGCCCCTGCCCTGTCATGTGAAATCCATTGATTAGTGCTTAATTAATTTATTTCAATTGACTGATTTCCTTATATGAACTGTAACTCTGTAAAATTGTTGCATGTTGCATTTATATTTTTGTTCAGTATATATCAATTCCCCCCCCATCACTAGAGTGTACATGTGTACAGTTCAGGAGAAGGGTACAGAATCAGAATGTAGTCACAAACTGTCCATCGATGTGCATGTTTACAATTACCATTCTGGAATCACAACGTATGCATTTTGGACACATTTCTATGCTACTTGGGGATTTAGTATTGTTGGTATTTCAGATTTTTGGTACGATGTGTGTTGGTATGTCTGATTTGGTATGTGTTTTGACAATTAGGATTTGGTCTTATTGTGGCTTTGTGTGAAATGCCTTTAGTAGGGTGTGTTATGTGACCTGCTGTGCACATTTACTGAGATAATCAGCGACCTAGCTACCAGCAACCAGTCATTTTCAAAGATAGGAGGAGACACCGCAACTAGAGAGCTAGTGACCGGAGTTCGAACATTTCCCACGTTTACGAACATTTCCCACGTTTATGCACATTTCAGCAACGCGGCCGCCTGACGGCCAATCGGGAGAGGGCAGCTCTTGCTAGCAAGCTGTGACATTGACTAACAACAAAATTGCCATCAAGCATGCTGTTTGAAGGATACACACACCAGGGGAGCTCTCACTGATTATCTCTTATTAACTCTCCCCAAATAAATAATAAATAAATAAAAATGCCTTTTGTGAACTAACACTAACACTCGCACTTGACTTTCTTTTCTCCCCCTTAGTAGCTCTGACTTTGCTGATAGCTACTTTATTGAGGAAAACGTACTTACTATGACTGCTTGTTCTTCCTAGCTATCTTAAGACGAATGCACTGTAAGTCACTCTTGATCGCGTCTGCTAAATGACTAAAATGTAAGTGTGACTCCAGGAAGTTCTTTGCTGTCCTGTTTATTCACACCATCATTTTTATCTTCTCCTGTCCAGGCATTGAAAGGCATAGTAGCCATGGACACAGCTGGCCTAGTTTTAGGATGGCGGTACTTCGACCACGTGGCCCATCTAGGCGGAGCTATTTTTGGCATGTAAGTCTCACTGTTCAGCTAGGCGGAACACTTTTTGGCATGCAAGTTAGCTTCAAGTCCATCTGTCTGTATGCTCTCACTCACTTATTCAATTACTCTCTCACACACTCATCCCCATTAAACTGACTGTTGCACAGGGCAGCAACAAAATATCTCAACATCTAGTCAAGCTAGCTGTCTTTGACCATCTTCTCCACAATACCCCAGCTTTGCTGATTGTGTTTGGGGGGCACTTAATCCTCTAACCCCTCCCTCCTCCAAACTGCTCCAGTCTTCTTCTTACCCTGTGCTGCTCCCAACCTATCGCGTACATGTCTGGTGTTGGGTCGGGTACTACGACAGCCGAAAATTGACAAATTAAGATCTATTCTTTTAGTCTCGTTTGAGCTCTGTTGTTCTACCTCTCTTCCGATCTCTATATGTTCCTCACCTATACTCTCTCGCTCTTTTTTTTTTTTTGCAGCTGGTACATCATGTATGGCCACGAGCTGATATGGTAGAACCGCGAGCCCCTAGTGAAGGTGTGGCACGACCTTAGGACGAAGGGTCCTGGTGGGGGTGGAAACGGTGGTAGCGGCCCCCTGTAGAGCGCACTGGACTGGGTGAATGCATATGGATGGACTGGCCTTGGCTGTTATGTATAAATTAACAGATGACAGAAGTGTCAATAGCATCAACAGCCTTGCTGGCCACACAAACCAAAGCCCAACTCTCCATTTACCCCACACACACACAAGCTCTACGTTTGTCTCTCTCACACTCACACATGTAAATGCCATTTGCATTCAGTGCTTTCTCTCTCTCTCTCTGTCTCTCTCTCTTACTCACTCACTCACTCACAATACAAAAGAATGCAGGGCTTTTGTGTTAATCATGCTTTTATGTGTTTGTGAGAAAAGAGGAGAGAACTCACTGGGGACACATTGTTGAGTTACACTAGGGCCTGCATTCACAAAGTGTTTGATCTAGGATTAGTTTGGCCTTTTACATCATAATGAGTAAGATTATATGTGAACACGGACCCAGGAGCCTACAGGTCGTCATCATCTCCCCAAATGCTGAGGTGGAGGCCTAAACCCTAAGATATGAAAACCACATGGTCACGAAACCCCTCCCACTGTCAGTACAGGGGATGGCTAGGGAGCTACAGTGTCACAACCAATTATGTGTTTTATATGATGATATACGTGTATATGATGATGTCTACAGTCAAAAGCACTAATTATTCTCTGGTCCCTACAAAAGAGCAGGTGTTCTTAATGTTTGTTGTAGATTAAATAATTTTTGTTTGTTATTTGAACCAAATAAAATGTGTATTTGTCTTGTGTTCCAGGCTATACAGTGAGGGGGGAAAAGTATTTGATCCCCTGCTGATTTTGTATGTTTACCCACTGATAAAGACATGATCAGTCTATAATTTTTATGGTAGGTGTCACGCCCTGACTCTGAGGACTCTTATTTGTTGAGTCAGGGGTGTGATTTTCCTTGTTGTGTTTGTTCATTGTTGTAGAATCTAGTACAGTGGGGAAAACAAGTATTTAGTCAGCCACCAATTGTGCAAGTTCTCCCACTTAAAAAGATGAGAGAGGCCTGTAATTTTCATCATAGGTACACGTCAACTATGACAGACAAATTGAGAAAAAAAATTCCAGAAAATCACATTGTAGGATTTTTAATGAATTTATTTGCAAATTATGGTGGAAAATAAGTATTTGGTCACCTACAAACAAGCAAGATTTCTGGCTCTCACAGACCTGTAACTTCTTCTTTAAGAGGCTCCTCTGTCCTCCACTCGTTACCTGTATTAATGGCACCTGTTTGAACTTGTTATCAGTATGAAAGACACCTGTCCACAACCTCAAACAGTCACACTCCAAACTGCACTATGGCCAAGACCAAAGAGCTGTCAAAGGACACCAGAAACAAAATTGTAGACCTGCACCAGGCTGGGAAGACTGAATCTGCAATAGGTAAGCAGCTTGGTTTGAAGAAATCAACTGTGGGAGCAATTATTAGGAAATGGAAGACATACAAGACCACTGATAATCTCCCTCAATCTGGGGCTCCACGCAAGATCTCACCCTGTGGGGTCAAAATGATCACAAGAACAGTGAGCAAAAATCCCAGAACCACATGGGGGGACCTAGTGAATGACCTGCAGAGAGCTGGGACCAAAGTAACAAAGCCTACCATCAGTAACACACTACGCCGCCAGGGACTCAAATCCTGCAGTGCCAGACGTGTCCCCCTGCTTAAGCCAGTACATGTCCAGGCCCGTCTGAAGTTTGCTAGAGTGCATTTGGATGATCCAGAAGAGGATTGGGAGAATGTCATATGGTCAGATGAAACCAAAATAGAACTTTTTGGTAAAAACTCAACTCGTCGTGTTTGGAGGACAAAGAATGCTGAGTTGCATCCAAAGAACACCATACCTACTGTGAAGCATGGGGGTGGAAACATCATGCTTTGGGGCTGTTTTTCTGCAAAGGGACCAGGACGACTGATCCGTGTAAAGGAAAGAATGAATGGGGCCATGTATCGTGAGATTTTGAGTGAAAACCTCCTTCCATCAGCAAGGGCATTGAAGATGAAATGTGGCTGTGTCTTTCTGCATGACAATGATCCCAAACACACCGCCCGGGCAATGAAGGAGTGGCTTCGTAAGAAGCATTTCAAGGTCCTGTAGTGGCCTAGCCAGTCTCCAGATCTCAACCCCATAGAAAATCTTTGGAGGGAGTTGAAAGTCCGTGTTGCCCAGTGACAGCCCCAAAACATCACTGCTCTAGAGGAGATCTGCATGGAGGAATAGGCCAAAATACCAGCAACAGTGTGTGAAAACCTTGTGAAGACTTACAGAAAACGTTTGACCTGTGGCATTGCCAACAAAGGGTATATAACAAAGTATTGAGAAACTTTTGTTATTGACCAAATACTTATTTTCCACCATAATTTGCAAATAAATTCATAAAAAATCCTACAATGTGATTTTCTGGATTTTTTTCCCTCATTTTGTCTGTCATAGTTGACGTGTACCTATGATGAAAATTACAGGCCTCTCTCATCTTTTTAAGTGGGAGAACTTGCACAATTGGTGGCTGACTAAATACTTTTTTTCCCCACTGTATGTCTAGATCTATGTTGGCCGGTGTGGTTCCCAATCAGAGGCAGCTGTAGCTCGATGTCTCTGATTGGGGACCATACTTATGCAGCCTTTTGGCACTAGTGGGTTGTGGGATCTTGTTCTGTGTGAGGTTTGGTGTGTGTACCGTAGGACGTCACGTATCGTTAATTTTGTTGTTTTGTCGTGGTGTTTATTCAATATAAATAAACATGAATGCATATCACGCTGCGCCTTGGTCCTTCTCGTTCGTCAACGATTGTGACAGTAGGTTTATTTGAACAGTGGGAGACAGAATAACAACAAAAAAATCCAGAAACGCATGTCAAAAATGTTATAAATTGATTTGCATTTTAATGAGGGAAATAAGTATTTGACCCCTCTGCAAAACATGACTTAGTACTTGGTGGCAAAAACCTGTTGGCAATCACAGAGGTCAGACGGTTCTTGTAGTTGGCCACCAGGTTTGCACAAATCTCAGGAGGGATTTTGTCCCACTCCTCTTTGCAGATCTTCTCCAAGTCATTAAGGTTTCGAGCCTGACGTTTGGCAACTCGAACCTTCAGCTCCCTCCACAGATTTTCTATGGGATTAAGGTCTGGAGACTGGCTAGGCCACTCCAGGACCTTAATGTGCTTCTTCTTGAGCCACTCCTGCCTTGGCCGTGTGTTTTGGGTCAATGTCATGCTGGAATACCCATCCACGACCCATTTAATGCCCTGGCTGAGGGAAGGAGGTTCTCACCCAAGATTTGACGGTACATGGCCCAGTCCATCGTCCCTTTGATGCGGTGAAGTTGTCCTGTCCCCTTAGCAGAAAAACACCCCCAAAGCATAATGTTTCCACCTCCATGTTTGACGGTGGGGATGGTGTTCTTGGGGTCATAGGCAGCATTCCTCCTCCTCCAAACACGGCGAGTTGAGTTGATGCCAAAGAGCTCGATTTTGGTCTCATCTGACCACAACACTTTCACCCAGTTCTCCTCTGAATCATTCAGATGTTCATTGGCAAACTTTAGATGGGCATGTATATGTGCTTTCTTGAGCAGGGGGACCTTGCGGGCGCTGCAGGATTTCAGTCCTTCACGGTGTAGTGTGTTACCAATTGTTTTCTTGGTGATTATGGTCCCAGCTGCCTTGAGATCATTGACAAGATCCTCACCGTTCTCATGATCATTGCAACTCCACGAGGTAAGATCTTGCATGGAGCCCCAGGCTGAGGGAGATTGACAGTTCTTTTGTGTTTCTTCCATTTGCGAATAATCACACCAACTGTTGTCACCTTCACACCAAGCTACTTGGTGATGGTCTTGTAGCCCATTCCAGCCTTGTGTAGGTCTACAATTTTGTCCCTGACATCCTTGGAGAGCTCTTTGGTCTTGGCCATGGTGGAGAGTTTGGAATCTGATTGATTGATTGCTTCTGTGGACAGGTGTCTTTTATACAGGTAACAAGCTGAGATTAGGAGCACTCCCTTTAAGAGTGTGCTCCTAATCTCAGCTCGTTACCTGTATAAAAGACTCCTGGGAGCCAGAAATCTTTCTGATTGAGAGGGGGTCAAATACTTATTTCCCTCATTAAAATGCAAATCAATTTATAACAGTTTTGACATGCGTTTTCTGGATTTTTTCATTGTTATTCTGTCTCTCACTGTTCAAATAAACCTACCATTAAAATTATAGACTGATCATTTCTTTGTCAGTGGGCAAACGTACAAAATCAGCAGGGGATCAAATACCTTTTTCCCTCACTGTAGCTCTACTGTGGTTTCTTTCCATCTGTACTGTTTTTACCATGGTAGGATTGCATTTCTATTTCCTATTTCACTAAAAGAGTCTCATGTCTATCAAACTGAGAAAGGTGATGGACTTTGCTCCTTCACCAGTAAACCATTAACTAAGCCATAAAACTATACATCTTTTCAGTAGCAGGAATTACAGATACAGTAGGACAGACTTTGTACCCCTGAATCACAGTTGTCACCTGGATACAGGAAGGAAGTCACTCACGCCTTTATCAGAAGTCATGTGCCCTTTTTGTTTTTAAACAGGATGTTATTGTTTCATGATGTCATATTATTCTGAAATTGGCATTAACAGGCATTTGAATTGAGCTTTTTAAGCATTTTGGGCTTAAATTGTCATCTGGGGTTCACTGTAACTTTGGTGCTGGCGGGTTAGGATATTGATGTAAAATAGACAAATAAAATGACCAAAGTCCACAAACGGTCATTGGGGAAAAAGCCAGAGACTGTGTCTGGTAAGAGTTGTAGACAAGGAGAGGAAGTCTTCTCTTGACTCTTCCCGGTTGTGATACTTGAAAAAAATAATGAGAATGGCCACTGTTTATGCTGCCGTTAGAGTCAAAACAGTATTTAGCTAATTATAACTGCTGTCTTTTTCTCAGAATTAGATTCTCCTTTAAATCCGCTTCCCAAATAGCACCCTGTTCCCTTAATGGGGACTACTTTAGACTAGGACTTTGATCAAAAGTAGTGCACTATACAGTACATGTATAGGGTTCCATTTGCGATGCATCCTAAGTCATTTTCTCCGTAACTGTATCATTGTGTCCTTAATTGTGTATCACAGGGTTTGGTTCAATTCCATTTAAATTCAGTTAAAAGTCAAGAATTAAAAAGGTGCCATTTATTTTTGGTGTGAATTTCACTTCACTTGAAGTTTAAATGGGAATTGACCCTGGTGTATAATGCGATTGTGTGTTTGAAAAAGTGAGCAGTAGTTTCTCTGTGAGTTTTAGATGTGTTGCTTTTCAGTGTGTTCGTGCGTATGGGCTCTGGTCAAATGTAGTGCACTATATAGGGAATAGGGTGCCATTTGGGACGCAGTCCATTGAACCCACAGTGCAGATATGGGGGAGAGTAGTAGGCCACGTGCAGAGGTGAGCATGTATGCTCAAAGTGGGAGGTTGTTTTGAAGGGTCATTGATCCACCCGATACCCAAATATCACCTCAGTGGGACCACAGCCTCTGTTCCAAAAAATACCCTTCACGCTCTCTTCTTCCAACTTACTTCTTCCATAGCCCACCAGGGAAACAGACAACTGGTGTTAAACACCTGAATAGAACAAGTGGATAGAAACACAAACTAGACTCGAACAACACAGGATACAAAATACCATTCAACAACACAGCAGACACAGTAACAAAGACCGAAAGTTCAAGTCAAGCTCATCACAGAAACAGTAAGTAAATTGGTTTACTTTTCCATTTCTTTGTTTGAGAGATTGGTTTATACGGTATACTCATCTGGACGGTGTAACATAGTCTTAGCAAATCATTTAATTCCTTGCGATCAGATTTCTCTAAACATTTCGATGGATTGTGTTTAATTTATCAATGTTATATATGATTGGCAAAGGACATTTTGTATTGAACGGTTGTTTTGTTTGGTATGATTTGCTATAGTGAAAACTTTCAACGTTCCTTCCATTCGATCACTTTACTACAGATTGATACATTTGTGACTTACAAATATATTTCCCCTGAAGCACTGGTAGGTACACACCAGTGGAGGCTGCTGTGGGGAGAACGGCTCATAATAATGGCTGGAATGGAGTGAATGGAATGGCATCAAACACATGGAAACCATGTGTTTGTATTTGATACCATTCCACTTATTCAACTCCAGCCACTACCATGAGCCCATCCCCAATTAAGCTGCCACCAACCTCCTGTGGTACACACTACCCAGCTAGGGAAGAAATTGCACACCATGTCCCCATGACATCCTTTTTTGGTTGTAAACTGGTTTTCTGGTTGAGAAGACATATAATCAGTTTACAACCATCTGATGTCTGTTACAACCAGGTAAAGTTGCATTTTTCATGACGAGATCAAGACGTCATGGGAAGGACATACAGTGCCTTCAGAAAGTATTTATACCCCTTGACTTATTCCACATTTTGTTTTGTGTTACAGCCTGAATTCACAATGGATTAAATAGATGTTTGTTCTCAACCATCTACACACAATATCCCATAAGATCTACGAGATAGAATTGTGATGAGACATACAGTACAGTATATCTGGGGAAGGGTATAAAACAATTTCTAGAGTGTTGAAAGTTTCCAAGAGCACAGTGGTCTCCATCATTGGGAAAAAATATGGAACTACCCAGACTCTGCCTAGAGCTGGCCGTCCGACCAAACTGAGCAACCGGGCAAGAAGGACCTTGGTCAGGGAGGTGACCAAGAACCCAATGACCACTCTGACAGAACTACATAGTTCCTTGGCTTGGGAGAACCTGCCAGAAGGACAACAGTCTCTACAGCACTTCACCAATCTGGGCTTTATGAGAGTGTGGCCAGCCACACCTGAAAAAAAGGCACATGACAGCATGCCTGGAGTTTGCAAAAAGGCACGTGAACGACCGAGATCATAAGGCAAAAGATGATGTTGTCTGATGAGACAAAAAATTTACTCTTTGGCCTGAATGCAAAGCGCTATGTCTGGAGAAAACCAGGCATAGCTCATCACCCATCTAACACCATCCCTACCGTGAAGCATGGTGGTGGCAGCATCATGCTGTGGGGATGCTTTTCACTGGCAGGAACTAGGAGACTGGTAAGGATAGAGCGGAACAATGAATGGAGCCAAAAACAGGCAAACACTTGGTGAGAACCTGCTTCAGAGTGCAAATGACAGACTGGGGGGGCGAAGATTTACTTTCCAACAGGACAATGACCCAAGCATACAGCCAAAGCAACGCTGGAATGGTTTCCGAACAATAATGTGAAAGTCCTTGAGCGGCCCAGCCAATGCCCAGACCTGAATCCCATTGAAAATCTGAAGATTGCTGTTCACCGCCGCTCCCCATCTAACTTAGCAACGCTAGAGAAAATCTGCAAGGAAGAATGGGAGAAAATCCCCAAATACAGATGTGCAAAGCTGATACAGACATACCCAACATGACTCAAAGCTGTAATCGCTGCCAAAGGTGCTTCTACAAAGTATTGACTCAGGGGTGTGAATGCTAATGTAAATGAGATATTTCTGTATTTCTTTTTCAATAAATTTGCTCACATTTCTAAAAACATATTTTCACTTTGTCATTATGGGGTATTGTGTGTAGATGGGTGAGATTTTTTAAAATGTAATCTATTTTTAATTCAGACTAACACAACAAAATGTGGAATAAGTCAAGCGGTATAAATATTTTCTGAAGGCACTGCATGTCGGTTGTTCAAATAAAATATTTTCCTGGTTGCTAAAACCACGTTAACAAAACGTCCTTGTACAACCATCATACAACCTGACCGTGATGACATAAAATACATCATATTGCAACCAGTTTTGCCTACTGGGATATCGCTAACACTACAGTGTTTGTAGGTTCATAACAAAAACATTTTGTTCTGCCTTCTCTCTTCCAAGTAAATCAGGCGGCAGGACGGACCACCATGCTTTTAGCCTTCCAGGTCCTGGGTCTGTCTTTAGGGGTGATTGGCTGGTGTCTGGAGAACAGCTGCACTAGTTCCCATTCCTGGAGGGTCCGCAGCCACTCTGAGGCAGTCACAATCAACAACTGGCAGTTCGAGGGCCTGTGGATGACCTGTGCAGCCACGTCCCTGGGCTCTGTGCAGTGCCAGAGATACAAGACTGTACTGGGGCTACCAGGTGAGAGACACATGCAGGGCTCAGTGCAATACTCACATGCAATATTAAAGGGGCAATCTGTACTTTAAGCAACAACAAAATTGTTTTGGTAAACAGCTGAGGAACGGTGTTGGAGAAATGGAACCACTTTCAAATTCAAAGACAGAGCTATGGATCCAAGGACTGACCATCCAAGCTATAGTTTTAATCATGTTTTGAGCTCATGAGGCATTTATAATTTGTAGTCTTCAAAAATATATGGGTTCATGTTATTAATTTAAAAGTCCAAAATGTAATTACCAATCGCAGATTGCCCCGCCAGGATTGCGATTGCTCAGCAAATACAAATATTTTAATGTTGTAAACATCTTCCTCGGATACCACATAGACATAGTTCCTTCCCTGGTAGATGCCTCCAAGTTCCAAAATGAGGAGTGTGTATGCACGGACAGTAGTTTGTGGACAAAAGCGCTGTATAAACATTGCAATGGCGGCTTTCGATTAATAAATTCCAGCCAACAGTGTGACCCAGCAGTTAGATTTCGGCTGCTGATTAAAATCCTTAGACTCTTGATGTAGTTTTACCTTTGTAAGGTAAATGTGTTGCTTTGATAAGTGTCGACACAGCACAAATTAATTAAGAAACTGAGCAAAGATCTAAAGAAGGATTTGCATTACAAAAGTATTGTGTAGATGAAGCTGACATACTGTATCTGTGAAATAAATTGTAGAAGGCCTATAGTACAGTGTCCATATTAGGACAACCTCAGTCTCAGCAGGACGTTTTGAAGCTGTTCTCATATGGGCACTGTAGTACGGTAGTATTTTTTACTTCCTTTCCTACGTGACTGATACATTCAACTGTCTACCTTCAGACTGAAGAATGCAGGCCATAAAGTTTCAGTTTCAGGCCATGAAGGTAATAGGGGTTGTAAATCGCACAAGTATCATTGTATCATCGCGCGGTCAATCATTGACAGTCACACTGACCTTAGTTTCCTTTCAGTGTGTGTGTGTTTGTGTGTGTGTGTGTGTGTGTGTGTGTGTGTGTGTGTGTGTGTGTGTGTGTGTGTGTGTGTGTGTGTGTGTGCCTCTATTACACTGCAACAGACTCCTAGATAACCACACATTCATAAGAATGAAGAACTGTCACCTTACCACCAAAGGTCGGAGTACTTTAATTGTTACAGAGAGAGATTAAAAGAGTTTTGTCTAACCTGAAAATAATAGTGAGTATATTCTAAGGAGACACCGATGGCAAACTCCAATGGCAGGTATCTATTGTGAAACTCCTGATTTAATAGTTGAGAAAGTCAAACAGTGTCATTGCTTTCGATGAACCAATTGAAACCAATTTCGATGAACCAATCTGTCATATTGTTTATCTCCTTAGACCACCCCTAAGCTCAAAACCCTTGTCACCGTCACCTTATAGGTGAAGCCTATGGTTTTTACACGCCTCTTATTGATTTACAACCCCTGCGCAAAGACTAAAGTTCCCTGCGTTTGAAACAAGACAACAGACATCCAGCACATTGGAGACCAAGCAAGGACAAACGACAACTTGCATCTCATAAGGCCATTTTCAATCATCCTGTGTGTCTGAGGGTTTCAACCTCAAGAGTTTGGAAGCCTTTTCCTACACCTGTGTGTGTACTCTGGGTGATCATGTCGACGGCGGTGGAACTAACTGGGTTTTTGTTGTGCGTGGCGAGCTGGCTACTCACAGGCTCCTCACTAGCCAATGACTACTGGAAGTTGTCCTCGGTGTCTGGCAGTGTCATCGTATCCACACGCCAGTTCCAGAATTTATTTCACTCGTGTGCCGAGAACAGCGCCGGCATCAGGAACTGCAAAGACTTTGAGTCTATGCTCGCTTTGCCTGGTAGGTACTGGACTGACTACTACTCCCAAACTGGACCAATAGATAATCTCCAAAACCTGTCCCAAACAATATTGGCAAATTAGTTTGACACCCCTGGTCAAAGGGAACTCTAAATACTCTCCCGAGTGGCGCAGTGGTCTAAGGCACTGCATCGCAGTGCTAGCTGTGCCACTAGAGATCCTGGTTCGAATCCAGGCTCTGTCGTAGCCGGCCGCGACCGGGAGACCCATGGGGCGGCGCACAATTGGCCCAGCGTCGTCCAGGGTAGGGGAGGGAATGGCCGGCAGGGGATGTAGCTCAGTTGGTAGAGCATGGCGTTTGCAACGCCAGGGTTGTGGGTTCGATAAAATAATGTATGTGCTAACTGTAAGTCGCTCTGGATAAGAGCGTCTGCTAAATGACTAAAATGTAAAAAATGTAAAGGGAAACGTTTCCTGCTCCTCTGTGTCACTTGCCGACTCTGTTTCTTAAACAAATGGTTAATGTTATGTGAAGCGATTTTGCTGTGTAAAGGTCTATCAATTACATACAACAACCTTAACTAGTCTGTTTTGTTAGATTCCAGATGTTGCCAAATGTTTTAAGAATAAGAGGAACACAATCTGTCTTTATATTTTCAATGGAGTGTCTCTTCGGCAAACATGAATGATCCATGTATTGATACAGTTCTGTATCTTAGACACATCCTACATCTGAGTTAAAGCCTCCATTTGTTTGTGTTCTGTATGTGACATACAGGAAGTTGATATAAGCCTTTAGCGGTGTCTAACAATGAAAAAAAAAGGCCACCAGCACTTGCTTGATAACAGCAATTGAAGTCTATTTATTTTCTTTAGGCAACATGTCCCACTAGAACACCCTGCAAATGTTTCTGCTATGCCTTCTTTAGTGCGTGTGTGTGTGTGTGTGTTGTGAGACACGCAAGGGGATAGAGTTGAGCACATTTCCCTCCCTTTACCTTTAGTATTGTCTCCAAGTCCCAGTCTACTCAGGCTCTCTATCTATCCAATGTCTGTTGTTGACTGGAACTCTGTCGCTTCCTGTGTTCAGGCTACATACAGGCATGTCGAGCCCTGATGATCATCGCTCTGCTCCTGGGTCTAGCATCCATCATTGTGTCAGTGCTGGGGCTGAAATGCACAAAGATCGGCAGCACTTCTGAACAGGCGAAGGGCAAAATCGCTCTGACCGGCGGTAGCTTGTTCATCTTATCAGGTGTGTCCCCAACTGCCAGCATCATCAGCTTTATTCAGCTCTCCTCTCACAGTATCTATCTATCTATCTCTCTCTCTCTCTCTCTCTCTCCCTCTCTCTCTCTCTCTCTCTCCCCCCCCCCCCCCCCCCTCTCTCCCTCTCTCTCCCCCCCTCCCCCCCACTCTCTCTCTCTCTCTCTCTCTCTCTTCCCCTCTCTCCCCCCTCCCATCTCTCTTTCTTCTGCCGTTTACCAACCATTTCAATCTGCCTCTCCAACAGGTCTTTCCACCTTGACTGCTGTGTCATGGTATGCTGCACGGGTGGTACAGGAGTTCCATGATCCATTCTTTGCAGGAGTAAGGTGAGTACACATCCCAAAAGCTGAAAGTACTGCCTGGGAATTGCCGTTCTAATTAAGGCCAGGTTTAATTTTTTTTCGGTCAGGTCACATCACTCAACCAATCAATTAAAACCTTGTTCATAAAAACCTTTTATTGAAGGAATCATTCTGATTTGGGTACACACACAAACACACACACACAGGTCAAGTTGATTAATTCTCTGTCCCTGTAGGTTTGAGCTGGGTGCAGGTCTATACATGGGCTGGGGTGCTGCCTGTCTGGCCATTCTGGGTGGGGTCATGCTCTGCTGTTCCTGTAAGAAGGGTCCATCAGGACCACCAACAGGGTGAGTAATTGCGTCCACAAAGTTGAGTCCCAAATTGCACCCTAATCCCTATATAGTGCACTATAGGGCTCTGGTCAAAAGTAGTGCACTATATAGCCATTTGGGATGCAACCAAAGACACTTCCTACTCCCAAAGCTAATGTGCAAGCTAACCATTATCCTACCAAAACCATGGTCTTCGTTGGGCAAAGCGAGGACAACTCTATCTCAGGTCTCCAGGCATGTAATGGGCTAGCCAACACTAGTTAGCTAGCAATTTACCATCTGTTACATGAACTAGTCAAAGAAATCATTGTTGTCCAATCTATTGTACCCTACTTGTCTTACAGGGGATATTCAAACAACTACTCCAAAACAGGCCGTGGACAACAGATCTACAGGGCAGCACCTGTGTCAGAGTCGGGGAGTTCAAAAGCTTATGTTTAAAGCAGTTTAAAATGTGTGTGTTGAAAAAATAAAAATAAAATTGTTTGTTTGTCTGTTTTCATATGTTACTTCGCTAAAGTGTTACTTCACTGGTTTGCATTTGCCGTTATATATTTTAGTTTTTGTTGTCTTCTTGAGTTGAGTGAGTCACTGTGAATATTAATGCAATGTTTATTACTTTGAAATGTGTTGAAAATAAAACAATGTATCTGTTGATGATTATTGTTCTATTGATATTGTATATCCAAATTAATAGAAAATAGAAGCTATGCCACAACTCCAAATGAATGGAAAAGATACCCACTGGGTACAGACGTCTAATCCACATTGATTCAACGTAATTTCATTGAAATGACGTGGAAACAACGTTGATTCAATCAGTGTGTGCCCAGTGGGTAAACATCAAATACAGTACTTTTTATAGTGAATCCTGTGATTCTAAACTGACTATAGCCATATGTTCAAGTAATGTCTTGTGATTGCTCAGCTCTCTGCTGGACATTTAAAGAAATTCTCCACTCAAAATTAAAAATGTGATATTCTATTCTTTACTTAACATTTCATCTGCTATGTCTACAATGTGTCTAACCCAGATACTTTGGTCCGAATCTGTTGTACAAATCTACAGTTGGACTGCTTCAGACGGCAAAATAGAGTAATTGGTTCATGTAACTGGCGTCACTGTGCTAGATTATCTGTTTCACTTTCACCTTCCACTTGCCTCTGACTGGGCTTGAACCACACTCTTAGAAAAAAAGGTTATTTAGGGTTCTATATAGAACCTTTTGGTTATTTGGTCAAAATGTAAAAACCCTTTTTAGAAAAAGGTTAAATCCTTTAAGGATAGAAACTTAGGTTTCTATAATTAATTTGTTTTTCGAACATCACTGTCCACCAACTGCCATTTATCCAGCATGACCACGGTCTGACTCCAGAAGACTGTTGTTGAAAATACCAATAAGCATGGCAAAAAAAATGTAAGGTAAGAAAAGTAGATTTTTTTATTTGGAATATATGAAGTAAATCATATGATAATCTATGAGCTAGAATAGATAAGGTTCTTCCAGAGTTTGAGCACTAAGCTACTGTTTTTTAGCTAGCTGGATAGGTCTAGGAAAAAGCCACATTTAATTTGCCACTTTACAAGCTAGCTAACTCTTAAAAATAAAAGTTATTTTTAATTATTTGCTAAATAGGCTGCATTTAGACAGGCAACCCGATTCTGTCTTTTCACCAATCAGATCAGCTCTGAAAAAGATCTGATATGAATTGGGCTGCCTGTCTAAATGCAGCCATAGAGCTACAGACCCAGCCTGACATTGCCAATTAGCTAATTGTTACTTTTATTTCAGTGTGGAGTCAGATGGGGGGGACTATGTTACATGACGCTGTAAGAACAGTGAACTGAGTGCTGCTAACCTCTGTTGAATGCTCGTGATGGGCTTACGGAGGTAATAACCTCTCCCTCAATTTTAACATTGAGGACTTCAGGAGACAGTAGAAGGAGCACGCCCCCATCCACATCGACGAGGCTGCAGTGGAAAATGTATATAGCTTCAATTTCCTCGGCGTACACATCACTGACAATCTGAAATGATCCACCCACACAGACAGCGTAGCGAAGAAAGTGCTGAAGAAATTTGGTTTGGCCCCTAAGGCCCAAAGATCATCATGGACCTCAGCCACCCAACACATGGTCTGTTCACCCCTTTACCATCCAGAAGGCGAGGTCAGTACAGGTGCATCAAAGCTGGGACCAAGAGACTGAAAAACAGATTCTATCTCAAGGCCATCAGACTGTTAAATAGTCACCGCCCAGAACGCTGCCCTGAACTTTAGTCACTGTCACTAGTCGGCTACCACCCAGTTACTCAACCCTGCACCTTAGAAGCTATTGCCTACGTACATAGACATGGAACACTGTCACTTTAATAATGTTTACATACTGTTTTATCCACTTCATATGTATAGACTGTATTCTAGTCAAGGCCTATACTATTTAACTATTACTGTACATATACATATACTATTCTATCCTACGTATTCTTCAGGTATACCACATATTGTGGTCCTCTGTAGCTCAATTGGTAGAGCATAGCGCTTGTAACGCCAGGGTAGTGGGTTTGATCCCCGGGACCACCCATACGTAAAAATGTATGCACACATGACTGTAAGTCGCTTTGGATAAAAGCGTCTGCTAAATGCCATATTATTATTATATTCTATACATATACTGTCCATAATATCTATACATCCCATCATGTACAGTTGAAGTCGGAAGTTTACATACACCTTAGCCAAATACATTTAAACTCTGTTTTTCACAATTCCTGACATTTAATCCTAGTAAAAATGCCCTGTCTTAGGTCAGTTAGGATCACCACTTTATTTTAAGAATATGAAATGTCAGAATAATAGTAGAGAGAATGATTTATTTCAGCTTTTATTTCTTTCATCACATTCCCAGTGGGTCAGAAGTTTACATACACTCAATTAGTATTTGGTAGCGTTGCCTTTAAACCGTTTAACTTGGGTCAAACATTTCGGGTAGCCTTCCACAAGCTTTCCACAATAAGTTGGGTGAATTTTGGCCCATTCCTCCTGACAGAGCTGGTGTAACTGAGTCAGGTTTGTAGGCCTCCTTGCTCGCACACGCCTTTTCAGTTCTGCCCAAACATTTTCTATAGGATTGAGGTCAGGGCTTTGTTGTCCTTAAGCTATTTTGCCACAACTTTGTAAGTATGCTTGGGGTCATTGTCCATTTGGAAGACCCATTTGCGACCAAGCTTTAACTTCCTGACTGACGTCTTGAGATTGAGAGTTGCTTCAATATATCCACATAATTTTCCTTCCTCATGATGCCATCTATTTTGTGAAGTGCACCAGTCCCTCCTGCAGCAAAGCACCCCCACAGCATGATGCTGCCATCCCCGTGCTTCACGGTTGGGATGTTGTTCTTCGGCTTGCAACCCTTCCCCTTTTTCCTCCAAACATAACGATGGTCATTATGGGCAAACAGTTCTATTTTTGTTTCATCAGACCAGAGGACATTTCTCCAAAAAGTACGATCTTTGTCCCCATGTGCAGTTGCAAACCGTAGTCTGGCTTTGTTATGGCGGTTTTGGAGCAGTGGCTTCTTCCTTGCTGAGCGGCCTTTCATGTTCTGTCGATATAGGACTCGTTTTACTGTGGATATAGATACTTTTGTACCTGTTTCCTCCAGCATCTTCACAAGGTCCTTTGCTGTTGTTCTGGGATTGATTTGCACTTTTCACACCAAAGTACGTTAATCTCTAGGAGACAGAACGGGTCTCCTTCCTGAGCGGTATGACGGCTATGTGGTCCCATTGTGTTTATACTTGCGTACTATTGTTTGTACAGATGAACGTGGTACCTTCAGGTGTTTGGAAATTGCTCCCAAGGATGAACCAGACATGTGGAGGTCTACAATTTTTTTTCTGAGGTATTGGCTGATTTCTTTTGATTTTCCCATGATGTCAAGCAAAGAGGCACTGTGTTTGAAGGTAGGCCTTGAAATACATCCACAGGTACACCTCCAATTGACTCAAATTATGTCAATTAGCCTATCAGAAGCTTCTAAAGCCATGGCATCATTTTCTGGAATTTTCCAAGCTGTTTAAAGGCACCGTCAACTTAGTGTATGTAAACTTCTGATCCACTGGAATTGTGATACAGTGAATTATAAATGAAATAATCTGTCTGTAAACAGTTGTTGGAAAAATGACTTGTGTCATGCACTAAGTAGATGTCCTAACCGACATGCCAAAATTATAGTTTGTTAACAAGAAATGTGTGGAGTGGTTGAAAAACTAGTTTTAATGACTCCAACCTACGTGTATGTATACTTCCGACTTCAATTGTATTTCATTATTTATATATTATTTTCTTAATTTTTTCACGTTTCAAGTCCTGCCACAACATCTCAATTGGGATTATGTCTGGACTTTGACTAGGCCATTCCAAAACTTCAGATTTGTTGCTTCTTCAGCCATTTTCATGTAGACTTGATTGTTTGTTTTGGATCATTGTCTTGCTGCATGACCCAGCTGTGCTTCAGCTTCAGCTCACAGACGGATGGCCTGACATTCTCCTGTAGAATTACCTGATACAGAGCAGAATTCATCGTTCCTTCTATTAAGGCAAGTCGTCCAGGTCCTGAGGCAGCAAAGCATCCCCAAACCATCACACTACCACCACCATGCTTGAACGTTGGTATGATGTTCTTACTGTGGAATTCAGGGTTTGGTGTTCGCCAGCCAAAATGGGACCCATGTCGTCCAAAAAGTTGACTCAAGTTTGCCAAAAAGCACCTGGAAGAATGTTCTATGGACAGATGATTCAAAAGTATAACTTTATTTTGTATTTTTTATGCTGTGGTGTTAAGATTTCCCTTCACTGGATCTAAGGCCTAGCCCGAACCATTAAAAACAGCCCCAACCAATTATTCCTCCTCCACCTAAATGTACAGTTGGCACTATGCATTGGGGCTGGTAGCGTTCTCCTGGCATCTGCCAAACCCAGATTAGTCCGTCGGACTGCCAGATTGTGAAACTTGATTAATCACTCTAGAGAACGCGTTTCCACTGTTCCAGTGTCCAATGGCGGCGAGCTTTACACCACTCTAGCTGACGCTTGGCATTGTGCATGGTGATCTTAGGCTTATGTGCAGCTGCTCGGCCATGGAAACCCATTTCATGAAGCTCCCAATGAACAGTTATTGTGCTGATGTTGTTTGGAACTCGGTAGTGAGTGTTGCAACCGAGGACGGACGATTTTTACACACTACACGCTTCAGCACTCGGCGGTCCCGTTCTTTGAGCTTGTGTGACCTACCACTTTGCGGCTGACCGTTGTTGCTTCTACACGTTTCCACTTCACAATAACAGCAGTTACAGTTGACTGGAGCAACTCTGGCAGGGCAGAAATTTGACGAACTGACTTGTTGGAAAGGTGGCATCCTATGACGGTGTCACGATGAAGGTCACTGAGCTCTTCAGTAAGGCCATTCTACTGCCAATGGTTTGTCTATGGTGATTGCATGGCTGTGTGCTCGATTTTATACACCTGTCAGCAACGTATGTGGCTAAATCCACTAATTTGAAGGGGTATCCACATACTTTTGTATATATAGTGTATTAGCTACGTCTGGAACTGACCAATGTCAACACAATTCAATGAAGAGCGTCTAACCTATAGCAGAGCGTTTTCGACACACCCTCTACTCAGAGACTTGTCCGGGACGCAGCTACAGTACCTACTTTTTTGTGACGAAATTGTGCAATCCGCACTCCGACCTGCGAACGGCAGCAATACATCGTTTAGTGCCGGAAATTCATACGAAGAAGAAGAAAAGCTAAAAGGGTTGAGAAGTTGATTGAGGCTGGACATGCAGGAGTTGGTTAGCAGCGAGCTATTTTAAACCGAAAAACAACAATACAGCTAAAACTGAACTGTTCACTGGTGTCTGAAGACTCGTTTAGATGGTGTGAGTTGATGATTTTATGTTTATTTTATAAATAGTTTTGGCTCTCGTCTCGGCTGACGAATGTCGTCTGCCTTGATTCGCTACCGTTTGCTAGCTGGCTGTTAGCTATCACAAGTTAGCTAACTAGCTATGTGGTTTATATCTCAACTTTTTTCAAAGCATCAACTAACGCCAATTTAGCACAAGTAGGCAGCTGAAAACGACTAAATGTCATGATCTGAGTGGATGTGACACTAGCTACGCTAACTAGCGTAAGTTAACAATAGTTTCCATTCCTCTTGATGCTAACTATCACACTTGCTAATGACTGCGTGTTTGTGAAAACATATAGCTACCTAGCTTGCAAGCTAGCTAGCATTAGCAGATAGACTGCTAGCTAGCTTGTCGTGCTATAGACGTAGGTACAACTTTGTAAGTTAAAAACGTTACCTATCTAGCTAGCTAACTAATGTTAGGTATTTAACTAGCTGGCTACTAGTTAGTTACTGTAGTAGGCATTTGTTGCGTAATGTTATCTAGTTAACGTTAGCTTGCTAGCATGATCCTAGCTAGACCGAAGAGGGCTACCATAATCTGTGTACTTGTTTGCGCAGTCAATCGGATGGCTATTCCTTTCACCAACACACACAACGTTGTTACTGCTCTGGCAAATGACTTAGCAAATCATCGAGCTCCCTGCCATCCGGGACCATACCAGGCGGTGTCAGAGGAAGGCCCAAACATTTTTCTGACCCCAGCCTCCCAAGCCATAGATGGTTCTTTCTGCTACCTCACGGCAAGCGGTACCAGTGCACCAAATCTGGAACTAACAGGACCCGAACAGCTTCTACCCCCAAGTCATAAGACTGCTAAACAAGACTGCTAAATAGCTAGTCAAATGGCTACCCGGACTGCCTGCATTTACCTTTTTTTGCACAAACAATTTTTTACCTACTCTATGCACACATACTGGACTCTACCCACACACTCTCACATACTGACACCCCAACTCACACACACTACATATGCCCGCACACATGCATACTGACGTCTCATGCACACACTTTCACACTCACCACATACGCTGCTGCTACTGTCTTATCTATGCTGTTGCGTAGTCACTTTACCCCTACCTATATGTACATAGCTACCTCAATTACCTCGTACCCCTGCACATCGACTTTGTACTGGTACTCCCATGTTATTTTTTTTACTAATTATTGTTATTCACTGTGTATTTATCCCTCCTGTCACTATTTTTTGTATCTTTAACTGCATTGTTGGAAAATGAGCCGTAAGTAAGCATTTCACTGTTAGTCAACACACGTTGTTTACGAAGCATGTGGTCCTCTGTAGCTCAATTGGTAGAGCATGGCGCTTGTAACGCCAGGGTAGTGGGTTCGATCCCTGGGACCACCCATACGTAAAAATATATGCGCACATGACTGTAAGTCGCTTTGGATAAAAGCGTCTGCTAAATGGCATTATTATTATTATATGTGACAACTATAATTTGATTTTTTTTTTAATAATAATGCGCCTTTCAACCAACCAAAGCAGTTTGTGGTTATGAGATACAGGCTTTGAATTCAACCTAGCTATAGCAAAGATGATCTATTATGTCGTGAAGATGGTCGAGTGACCGCTCTAACAATGGAAATGCATGTCCTGAAAGGTGGAAGGGAGGCGAGATCAGGTGGGACCATTCTAGCCAATGAGTGGGCAGATGTGTGTGAACAACAGGCACAACTCTGATATAAGTACATTTGTTCCGTTGCCGAATTGCCATGTGCATTCACTTATATCAGTGCATTCTTAACAACCTAACCATTACGAAACTTCTATTCAATCAAATAAGCCTCACGTAGCAAATGAGCAATTCCCATTTTTGTTGACTTAATTCGACACTCATTGACCTCCATACAAAAATTCCTCACTTTGTGGTTTTATTTTCGTGGACTGATTTTTGGTTTAGTAAATCCTGTTGCTTTGCCTCTTTCTCTCTGGCTCTAGTCCATGTCTGACCATGTTTTTTTTCATCAGTATTCATATTCCACCTATGTGTGGCATTTTGAAAGATTTCAGAATCAAATGGAACATGGATGAAGCAGCATTGCCCATTTATTCTTATTAGACTTGGCTTTACTTGATATATTGGAAGCTGTGGTGTGCCTAGACGCTTTTGCCAGTAATTTCTCTTGAAATGGGTTCATGAGGCAGGGCGTGATGATGGATGTATTCACTTCTTGGTGGGTGTGTGTGCAGGTGGTGATGGCAGAGCGTCGTGTGGAGTGCTCATGGAAGAGGCACGTCGCAGAGCAACTGAAGCAGAGGGACCGTGTGCAGCGGCAGGCCTTCGAGGAGATCATCCACCAATGTTAGAGGCCCATACCATGTCTCAGTGCTCAAGATGCTATTGATTGACTGACTGGTTTTTGGTTCTGCTGCCTGTGCAGTTATCCCAGAAAGTATTTTAAAGGACCTGTTTGTGTTTTTCTCAGATAACCGTCTCTTGGAGAAGTCCGATCTACAGGCTGTTCTTTCAGAGAGATATCAGTCGGACAAATATGACTTTCAGAACAGACATGACAGCAGGTAGGCCTCCTGACGATTTGACCTCTGAACTCGTGTGTGTGTTGCGAAGTCAAGCTGCTACCTGCTTATACCTATCCTCTCCAATCCTTTCAGATCTACTCGAGTGCCTAGGGAATAGAGGTTAATTTAGAGGTGGGCATTGGTGTTATAAGAAGCGTTGTTGTTTGCATTAGAGGGGATGGCGGTCCAGAAATCCCTTTCTTGTGAGGAAGTCTAAACAGGATCCTTGGGAGATCCAACTCTAACGTCACCCCATTGAAGTTAAAACGGTTAAGGTTAGGGTAGGGATTTCCCAAGGATCCCAGATAGCAATAACCTTGCTTGTGACCTTGTGAAACCATCTGTGTTTGGTTCCTCAGCCCGGGGGTGGACTCAAGTCGCAGCGACAACCTACAGCAGGAGATGGCCAAGATGCGAATCAGGCACCAGGAGGAGCTGACAGAGCTTCATAAGAAACGGGGCGAGGTTAGCCTTTATTGTGCCGTCCTGGCCAAACCTTCCTCTGGAGAACTACACTGTAGGCTTTCGCTCCAACCCTAAACTAGCACAGCTGATTCAGCTAATTGAGGTTCTGGGGAGCAGCTAATTAGTAGAATTGGGTGTGCTAGGTTAGGTTTGGGGTGTAATCTGGAGGGTAGCTCTCCAGTATGAGGGTTGGTCACCACTTGGCTGTGTCTGAAAATGTTACTAGCTGTCAAATCCTTACTTCTTAATTTCCTCTCAAAACGAACTGGGCCCGGTTTCAGAGGCAAAAATAGAATAAGTTTAAATGAACAAACCACTTTATACACTGAACAAAAATATAAACGCAATTTGCAACAATTTCAAAGATTTTACTGAGTTACAGTTCATATAAGGAAATCAGTCAATTGAAATAAATTAATTAGGCCCTTATCTATGGATTTCATATGACTGGGAATACAGATACCTTAAAAAAAAAAAGGAGCGTGGATCAGAAAACCAGTCCATATCTGGTGTGACCACCATTTGCTTCATGCAGTGCGACACATCTCCTTAGCATAGAGTTGATCATGCTGTTTATTGTGGAATGTTGTCCCACTCCTCTTCGAAGGCTGTGCGAAGTTGCTGGATATTGTCGGGAACTGGAACACGCTGGCGTACACGTTTATCCAGAGCATCCCAAACATGCTCAATGGGTGACATGTCAGGTGAGTATGCAGGCCATGGAAGAACTGGGACATTTTCAGCTTCCAGGAATTGTGTACAGATCCTTGCGACATGGGGCTGTGCATTATCATGCTGAAACATGAGGTGATGGCGGCGGATGAATGGCACGACAATGGGCCTCAGGATCTCGTCATGGTATCTGTGTGCATTCAAATTGCCATCGATAAAATGCAATTGTGTTCGTTGTCTGTAGCTTATGCCTGCCCATACCATAACCCCACTGCCACCATGGGGCACTCTGTTCACAACATTGACATCAGCAAACCGCTTGCCCACACGACGCCATCTGCCCAGTATAGTTGAAACCAGGATTCATCCATGAAGAGCACATTTCTCCAGTGTGCCAGCGACGGTGAGCATTTGCCCACTGATGTTGGTTACGACACCGAACTGCAGTCAGGTCAAGACCCTGGTGAGGACGACGATCATCCAGATCTTACCTGAGACTGTTTCTGACAGTTGGTGCTGAAATTATTTCTTTGTGCAAACCCACAGTTTCATCAGCTGTCTGGGTGGCTGGTCTCAGACAATCCTGCAGGTGAAGAAGCCAGATGTGGAGGTCATGGGCAGGCATGGTTACACGTGGTCTGCGGTTGTGAGGCCAGTTGGACATACTGCCAAATTCTCTAAAATGACGTTGGACGCGGCTTATGGTAGAGAAATTAACATTCAATTCTCTGGCAAAAGCTCTGGTGGACATTCCTGCAGACAGCATGCCAATTGCATGCTCCCTCAAAACTTGAGACATCTGTGGCATTGTGTTGTGACCAAACTGCACATTTTAGTGGCTTATTTTCCCAGCACAAGGCGCGCCTATGTAATGATCATGCTGTTTAATCAGCTTCTTGACAAGCCACACCTGTCATGCAATGATCCCTCAAATTTTCAGCACTGACCAAATTTCAGGTCTGCTGAGTACAAACTTGAACGTTGTGAATATTCTATGCAACTTCCAGCGCACGTTTACTGTGAACAGTGAAGCTGTACCCATTTTAAGTTGGACAAGCAGGCTACTGTGGCTATTTGATCATAATGTAGGCTTACCAGAGTGGCCTACCATTAAAAACAATACTGTTGGTTAGCTACTTAATTGGATCCAAATATCTATCTTAAAATGTCTGTGACTAGGTCAGTTGGAGCAAGGTCTGGACTTAAGACCCTGACTCTCCATTTGTTTGTTTATCCTCTGGTTTGTTTGTAACCAACTTGCCCTCAGTTGTGGATGTTTTGACTGAATGTCTTTCTCTTCTCTCTCGCTCTGCTTTCATGTAGCTGGCCCAGAGTGTGATTGAGCTGAACCACCAGATTCAGCAGAAGGACAAGGAGATTCAACGCAATGAGGCCAAGTGAGTCTACTCTCTACCTGTTATGAGTCTCTCTGTCATTGATGGACCTTTCTGTACGTTCTAACACTCCAGCTATTTGCTATATTGTTACCTACTGATGTCATTCCCTCATTTCCATGAACCAGAGGTATGATTTCTTCCTGATAAATGAGGGATTTCTGACCATCCTATATACACTGAACAAAAATATAAATGCAACATGTAAAGTGTTGGTCCCATGTTTCATGAGCTGAAATAAAAGATCCCAGAAATCTTCCATATGCACAAAAAGCTTATTTCTCTCTTTTAGTGCACACATTTGTTTATGTCCCTGTTAGTGAGCATGTATCCTTTGCCAAGATAATCCATCCACCTGACAGGTGTGGCATATCAAGAAGCGGATTAAACTGCATAATTATTACACAGGGGCACCTTGTGCTGGTGACAATAAAAGGCCACTCTAAAATGTGCAGTTTTGTAACACAATGCCACAGATGTCTGAAGTTTTAAGGGAGCGTGCGATCGCCATGCTGACTGCAGGAATGTCCACCAGAGCTGTTGCCAGAGAATTGAATGTTCATTTATCTACCATAAGCCGCCTCAACGTCATTTTTGAGAAACCGGCCTCACAACCTCAGACCACGTGTATGGCATCGTATGGGCGAGCGGTTTGCTGATGTCAACGTTGTGAACAGAGTGCCCCATGGTGGGGTTATGGTTTGGGCAGGCATAAGCTACGGACAACAAACGCAATTGCATTTTATAGATGGCCATTTCAATGCACAGAGATACCGTGACGAGATCCTGAGGCCCATTGTCGTGCCATTCATCCGCCGCCATCACCTCATGTTTCATCACGATAATGCACGGACCCATGTTGCAAGGATCTGTACACCATTCCTGGAAGCTGAAAATGTCCCAGTTCTTCCATGGCCTGCATACTCACCAGACATGTCACCCATTGAGCATGTTTGGGATGCTCTGGATCAGGAGTTCTTAAACTTCTTCAGCCTGGGACCCAAACTAGAAAATCAGGAAAACATGCATTTATACGTAAATATGGGTACATTACATTGCACTTATGCTTAAAACAAATGCAATATAGACAAAAACAAATAACAATGAAATGAAATACCCAAATTAAATTCTGGGAGTCCTCTCCCAGAATTTTCTGGGGCATCTAAAGCTAATTTCCTGCATTTTTACACAATCCAATAAGCCGTCTATATTTAGAACAAAAAGTAAGCAAAAAGACAGACAGTCATCTAGCTAGGTAAGGTAATTATTAAATATTTTTAAGTGATTAATAAGACTGAACTAGATCAAAGATATTTCAATAATAAATATTGTGTTGCACCTTTTAACAAATGAACAACTCTTTTTAAAAAATACGAAGACTTTTGATTGTCTTTATTAAGACATCCTCTCTATCAAATTTCAGCCAGACCAACCAGCCAGCCCGAGCCGCCTGCACGCCCGACCCCCACCATTCTAGTCAATAACTCAACTCTCTCCCAACACAATTTCCTTCCCAGTTCCCACCTTACATTTTTTTAATTCCCAAGGAAAAGTTTAGGAAACAACAACAAAGAACACATACACCTCAAATATACATTAACAGACAGAAACAGCAAATCCTCCATATAATTAATCTCACAGGACTAATAGTACTGTAGAGCTCTTTTTATTTGCACACAATATTGCTGGGTTGCCCCGTCCTGTCCCTAGGGGTCCACCACCCTGCAGCGCCCCAACCCAACACACCCCACTCAGCTTTAGGATATTAGTGAAACATTCATTTATTAGTTTTGCCAAGGCCAGAGTGACAACCCACAGGTCAGCAGACCCACATGGCAAGGACTGAGCAGCCCAGCAGCTAGTGATTGCTTAAATAGGTATCTCCGCTGACGTGGGCATGTTTTCAATAGACTCCTTTAGTCATACTGTATTCCATATAAGGCACCCAGACCTTATGAAAGTTGCCCAGTATACCCTTAATCTGGTAATAAATCAAATCTAGTGATACATAACTTGACATTGTGGGAGGATAACCAACCTTCCAATTAATGGCAATGCATTTCTTAGCCACTATAAATACTTGGTTACACAGTTTCTTCAGATAACAGTCTCCAGTATCAACATTTCCAAGCAAACAAAAACATGGAGAAGGGAGAAGCTATAGACATGCTGAGATAAAAGAACATACTCTTTGCCAGAATTCAGCCAGCCTTCACAAGGCCATAACATATGCAAATGTGTCCCCTTTTGTGTTTTACAGCTCCAGCAGAGGAATGACATTTCTGAGTGCATGTAATTCAGTTTCACTGACATGTAGTACTTTCTATGGATGGTCTTAAACTGCAGTAATTTATGTCTGAGATGATATGAACATGACTGGGCATTCGAACAGATCTGTATCCATTAATCATCATCAATAGCTTCTACCAGGTCTTCCTCACATTTCTGTTTTATATGTTAACGAAAAAAACAACCTTGATACCGTTTGGAAATCAACTTTGGAGGCTTCTCAGAATGCTTTAAAATAGCATATGGCTTGTCCAGTGTTTGCTGCACGGAGAGAATAAAGTGTTGTATCTGAAAAAATTAACCTCAGCTCCGTCAGACTGGTCTTCCCTGGCTGCCTGACCCTGCTGAGACCCCTGTCACCATCTGATCCTCCTAAAATGAGGCATGACAAAGAATTACCTTGGTGTACATTTATACATTATATTATCAAAAAATTGAATAAATGGTTCAATAATTGAAATTACCATGATTCCCAGATCCCAGACTGTAGCTTTAAGCTTAAGCTGCTGTCCTGTAGCTACTGTAGGTCTACCCATCAATTTAAGATGGAACTTGGTATCATTCACTGATATTGTTAATATACTGCAAAATTCACCTGAGCTCCGTAGACTGGTCTTCCCTGGCTGTCTGACCCTTCTGGGACCCTTGTCGCCATCTGATCCTGCTAAGACATGATGAGCATAGTGTTGTGTACTGACTGCACTAGAGGGCTGCATTCCCATGGGTTGCCTGCGTGTCCCAACAGAGATAATTGCGGCGCCGTCTGCATTTTTCATGCTGCGGGTGGTCAGATGACTTTGTGGTGATAAATATTTTTGTTGTCTCACAGATTATTTGGTAACGGTCCTCTTTCTGCTTTGTATGCGTTAGTCTACCTATTGTATTAAAAGCACATAATTTTTCACATTCACACCCTCAATTCGCTGCTTCAACTTCAGTATCCTACCTCTCCTAGTTTGGCGTGAGAGTTCAAGTGCAGCTAGTATGTGTGGTCTCATTTTAAATAGAGTAGGCTGAATACATGGTCGGAGAATCACGTGGCAGTTAACTTAAATATGATTAGACTGTAGTTTACTACATTGTCTTTAAATAAATAGGCTATTGATAATGGAATGAAGTGGAGAGAGCTCAACCAACGTGGTTAGGCTGCTATGTTAGGCTGCTAGGTTGCCTATAGGGCACAAAATTGCTGGGACCATGGCTGGCAAGTGAGCTGCGTCACATACGCCTAAAATAACATTGTGGGACTGCGAGTGGGTTTGGGACCAGTTCTTGCTGTAGCGGGTGGGAGTCGGACAGAAAGCCAGCGGGTGCGGGAGGAGTATGTATGGAAAGCTGCGGATGGGAGCGGGATTAAGAATTTAGTCGCGCGCAGGCCTCTGCTGTGCACCATGACAGTGAGGCCTGTAACGTTACAGCTGTGTCGTGACAAGACTTAACATTAATCTGATGACTGTTATTTCTCTAACTATGTTTAATTGTTACCCGATTTTTAAATTAATCATGTAACAATTAACTCATGATTTGGGGCAACATGGAATAAATTGTTCATAGAGTTACCATCTCCCGAATGAAACTCTAAAGGTCTTTACCTATCACATCCATAATACAGTCAACGTATTAATTCATAACCTCTTATCATATCATTCTGAACGGCCGTAACCTTATTCGATCCGCAAAAATCAGCTTTACTTATGATTCAGTACTACACAAATTGGTTTAATCATTTATTTACTAGTTAACTAAATAATAACACAGAATTAACATACACACTTAATACATGAGAAAAAGTCCCTAGCAGAATAGCAGCAACATGACTGCTTGTCTACCAAAAGAGGGAGGGGTGGAAAGAGAAAGAGACCCTTATCGTTGATACATTTGGAAACCACTCAAAGTAATCATAGTACTTTGTGCATGAGCCACCGCCCGTTTGGAGTAAGAAATCATATAATAATAATAATAATATATATATATATATATATAATATAAAATCATGAATGTATTTACGTGTGGATACCTTTGTTCGTCGTCTATCTCTGTTGAACCCAAGCCCTCTTGGAAAGTGGTTTTTGGCTGGGTCTTCGCTCAGCTCACTTGTAAGGCTCTGATTGTCCACAGGAGGTCACAATGTCCTTCTTCTTAGTTGTAGTGGAGTGAGAACAGCTACTTGGCTGTACCAGTGATTGTCTGAGAGGGGAGTTCTTCTCTCCACCTCATGTGGTTAATCAGAGTTTGAACCACTTTACACGCACAGCTGGAGCCTGGCAATGTCCGGGTCTAGTCTGGGAGGTGATCTTCACCTCGTGTTGAGATTCAACATTCCAACCATTTTCAGACACGTAGCGACCGCCTCACGTCTTTCTGGTCTGTTAATTTCGTTACCAATGCTTTTTATGCACTCTGGCCGAATGGGCGCTCCGTCATGCTGACGCTCTCTGAGCTCCCTCGGGGCGTGGCTAGTTACTTGTGCAAAGCTTATATGAAAAACTATCATTAGAAAACTAAAATCACATTCCTATCTTAAAAATACTTTAATTTTTAATATTATATACACAACGTATTGGGGATATACTTTCCAAGTTACAGTATTTTCTTGATACCATTCTTAATGACATCACAAAATAATAAACAATATGACATGATTATTCTTTAGATCCCCATTGACCATTCCCCACGTTCTTATGTTATAAATATTGTTCCAGTATTCATAATTTGAACATTAAAGTGTTGGGTGGGACAAAGTCTCTGGAGACAAAGGACATTCCTCTAGCCAATACTAGAGGGTACAGAGTCCTCTCCTGCTTAAATTTACGACCGGTTGTGAAGTGTCAACCGGCCCAGTGCCCTCCTCCCCTCTTCTGTGGATGAGAGGGTCTGGTTATTGTCAACCATTGCCAAGGTGATCTGAGCCATTGCATCCTCACACAGGACAGTCATGACAGCTGTTTATTACTGTGTCAGTGTGAAAAGTAGGGAATTAGCTAGATCAATAACGTTACATTGCCATACTGACTAATAACTCACATTGCACTGAAAAAACAGAATATTAATCTTCAATCGTTTGGCTGATGGTTTCATCGTTTGATTCAGGTCGAGTGTGATTGAGGCAAAAACAATAGTTAACGTTAGCCAACTTTTGGCCAGCTCTCTCTAACGGTACATCAACTGGCGAAGAGCTGACCTGGCTATTGTAGCTACTAGCTAGTGTAGCTAATTCATTCACCTCAGTTGAGAGGGGAGGAAATATTAGCGAACATTACATGTTAGTTACAATACTAGCTCAGCACTGTGAATAAACACTCGTTTTTTTTCTGTTAACTTAAACAGCAGTTACCTTGCCAGCTACATCAGTCAACTAAAGAGTAGCCAGTTTCTGCTCTGCTTGCTTTTACAACTCGGTGAAAGAGCGCAACACATTCACACTGAACTATGCTCAACTCTCCTGTGCTGGTCCAGCCAGCCTTCCAGAAGCTTTGCCTTCTCACAGCCTGTCAGCCCACTCTGTGGCGTCCGCGTGGTCCTAAATCCAGCCGGCTGAACACTCCAAACAGCCTACCTACCCGACCGCTCGTGGCCGTCCGCATGGTCCCAAAGCACACTGTTGCTGCTTTTTGTATCACATTGCTATGATCAAACTGGGGGGGGACAAAAATGCAATTTCAGAATGTAGGTGGGGGGGTGGGGGACATGTCCGTCCGCCCCCCCCGTCCCCAGTGAAAGTTGTGCCCCTGCCTGAAGCATTCTGCCCTGTTCTGAGAAAAGTCCCTGGGTTTACCGTCATGCTGTGGATGTTTGGTCAGGACGTGGTGTTTTTAATTTGTTCATTTTGAGAGACTCATTACTAAGCACTTCCCTGCACAAAACACATTGTGGGCGGCGCTCCTCCTTATTTCTCAACGTTTGTATGAAACCAAGAGCGAGAAACTCATCGCTGTATTTGCGTTTCAAAACGATTGCGTTCTGTCAGAACTTCTGGCTAGCTTGAGTCAATTCGTTGACAGCGGAGAGTGATGGCGAGTGGGAATGACAAGTCAGTGGCTGACAGCGCATCATCTGCTGCTGAACGACAGCGCTGCAGCGTGTGGGTCGCGGAGTGATCTTCAAGAAAATTGCTGAAAAAAAAGATCACCAAGCACATCTCCCTCCCACTCGCGCAGCTGCCAAACTGAGCATTGAAGAGTGGGACATTCCACAGGCCACAATCAACAGCCTAATCAACTCTATGCATAGGCGATGTCGCGCTGCATGAGGCAAATGGTGGTCACACCAGATACTGACTGGTTTTCTGATCCAAGCCCTTACCTTATTTTCAAGGTATCTGTGACCAACGGATGCATATCTGTATTCCCAGTCATGTGAAATCCATAGATTAGGGCCTAATGAATTAATTTAAATTAACTGATTTACTTGTATGAACTGTAACTCAGTAAAATCTTTAAGTTGTTTTTTATGTTTTTTTCATTACATTGATCCACATTGCAACTGACCCCTTCCAAATCGGCGTTCCTCCTTTTCCCCCTGACATCAATTAATTTTTCTGCCAGGATGCAGGAGTACCAGCGGCAGATTGCCGAGCTGGAGGGCGAGTGCCGGGAGCTGCGTGGTCAGCTGCAGGACCTGGAGCAGGCCAACCAGACGCTGAAGGATGAGTACGACGCCCTTCAGATCACCTTCGGTGCCCTGGAGGAGAAGCTGCGGCGCACCACCGATGACAACCAGGAGCTGGTGTCGCGCTGGATGGCCGAGAAATCCCAAGAGGCCAACAAGCTCAACGCGGAAAACGAGAAAGATTGCAAGTGAGTAGGGTTGACCCGATACCGGGTATCACGATACCAGGAAGTATCATGGCAAGGAAACAAAACATGAAGCATATTCTATTTCTTGAGGAAAACAGCCTTATGTTGTCACTGAGTCACATTTTATTTATTCCAAGCTTTAGCATATTTTACATAAAGCAAACCTACAAGTGAGCGAGAAGCTCGACTAAGCTCTAGTTGTATCATATCTTAGTGTGATGAGGGCGTATGGAGCAACTGGGTGGCTGGCTTGGAGCCGGGAAGGCTTGGAGACCCAGTTGTGGCTCAATGATCTATCTTCTAGGTGCCCCCAAGTGGCCTGCATGCAATTTCATATAATTTCAGTACTTTTTGTATTTTAATCATGTAGCAGACGCTCTTATCAGGAGCAACTAGCAATCAATGGATTCAACTAAAGTAGGCAAAACGACCACATGTCACCTTCATTTTAAGGAAAACCTTCTAAATAAGTGTTAGGTTGTGTAATCCAGTAATGGGTCCATTTTATGTAGTTGTTGTTTTTTTGCTTTTCGTTCCAGGCGCAGACAAGCCAAGCTTCAGAAGGAGCTCGCAGACGCTGCAAAGGAGCCCCTGCCCATGGACCCGTGAGTACTATTTACCGTAGAACCACAGAAGACTGCTCTGAGCAGAGGGATCTACTACGAAGCAGGATAGAGTTAGTGAGCTAAATTGGTCAATTCCGAGCTCAACTTGGGATAACCGTTGACACAAAGGAGGCTGTCCTTTTAGTCAGGTACATTTCTAATGCAACGAATGCTTCAGCTTGAACCTTTTCCGGGGCAGGCTAACTCCACTTGATCCTGAATGATGTGTTTGAGCTGCGAGTTGAGGACCAATCGAATCAGATTCCCTTACTGTCGCAAAGCGTCTTCATCATGCCCTTCATTCTCCGTATAATATTTGAGAAGCCGACTGCTTAAATATTGTATTAATCAAATGTTATTTAGTGTAAAATTGTAATATTTAAATGTATATCACACTACACAGTTATGACGAGGACACAAAGGATGAAGGAAATTCAATTGAGACTCACCCCTAGGGTTGATGTTTGACTTTTCTGGTCTCCTTTCCTCAGGGACGACGACATCGAGGTTCTAGCTGAGGATTCTGGGAAAGGCACTGGAGAGGCCTCTCCCAACCGGCCGCTCAGCCGCACCCCCAGGTGGGAGTGTGACTCAAACATGTTCTTAGGGAAACCCTGGCCCCTATAGCCAGTCCTACACACTTGATGTAGATATGTAAGAATTTGATAGATCTAAACAATATAGAAGTAGCTCTACCTTGCCCTATGAAAGGCTTGGGCAACATCTTCACCAATCGGCATATTGTTTATACCAGACCTGGGTTCAAATGATTTGTTCTTTAAATACCTATTTTCTGTGTATTTGAGTATTTTCAAATAACGTGGTCAAATCCACTACTTCTATTGGTAATTGAACATATTTTCAAATGAACTTACTATAAAAAGCCTACTATTTAAAAATAATCAAATGCGTTATTTCAAGTACCATACAGACCTGGGTTCAAATGCATGGGAGTATTTATTTTTTGTATTTCCAAATACATTCCGATATTCAACTACTTGTATAAAAAAGATATATAATCCAAATACTTACTTCCAAATGTCTTTTAAAGTAATTGAAATACCCTAAATATTATTTCAACCCAGGTCTGGTTTATACTCAATATATCAAATATTTTCAAATCTACACAAGTGCCTAGAAAGTTGGGGCTACGGATGTTTCTGGACCTGGCAGTGTATTGTTTGGTTGAGGTGTTGTGTTGCATATGAAATAACCCTCCTCTCTGTGTTCCTCTCTCGTAGTAAACGTATCTCCGGACAGCCTCCTCAAAGCGGCCTGTTGGACTCAATCTCCAACATATTTGGGTGCGTTTGCTTGGTTCTCAGTGTGGCGAGACTGTTGTCTTCCACTCTATGGGTGTATGTCTGGTCGTCTGTCCTGGGTTGTGTTCATAAGGCACCAAACGGAAGAGAACCGACTGAAACTAGGATGGACTACAAGGGGTGTATTCACTACGTACCAAGTGGAAGCAAACGGGCCGGAACTGAATCTGCCCCCCCAAAAAATAGCTGTTTTCATTGCATAAAGTCTTGCTACGGTGTGCGTAAATGAATACACCCCTGGAAAGGGGCATTTTCGTTTTATGTTGCATTACATTTTCAAACATTTTTCCCTGATGTTACCGTGGTTCCCATGTGGATCCTCTCTGGGCGGGTGTGTCCATCCTGTTGATGATGGCTTCTCTCTGTCTGTCCGTCTGCAGCGTGTCTGAGTCTGTGGAGCCCGGACTCCTCCCTCCAGACTCCAGGTGAAACGTCACTGTGGTGTCTATAGGGCTCACAGCTGTGTGCGCGCCTGTGTGTGTGGGCCGACGTGGGTGTGTGTGTGGGCCTGTGTGTATGTGTGTTAGAGAGGAGGCATCTTGATGTAGCTACTAAAAATATGGCACTATTACATTTGGCTTCTCAGTGAGGGTTTTCACCTCCCTGTAAATCAATATTCACTATTACTAACATAATCAGACTCAATAGAATAAAATAAGAGTATAGTACAAAAATAACGTATCAGAAGAAAAAACGTCTAACAACAATAACAAAAAGTTCATTTGAGGGTTTTCACCTCCCAACCTAGTTCATACAGCAGCCATGTGGCCTTAAAGAGGATTCCTGTAGAACTAACGATGAAGGAAATGATCACTAAGAGCCATTTGCCTTTAGAACAGAACTGTCCGATTCTTACGAGAGCCTCCTACAGGGTTTGAGTAAAAGAGTATTAGTGCCCCCTTATTAGTTTCCCACGTGGGATTTATCTAGGGCCAAATCTGGGAATGACAGTGGCACTTATCGACTGACCATCAAATCTTAAACTGATGGATTGATTTTAAAATGGGGTCTCGGACATACCAATTGCTTTGTTAGTAATTCAATGGCTTTTTTATCATATTTCTGCAAGGAACTTAAATAGTTTTTTGTGGAAGTTGTTCCAAAGCAAATTCATAAATTCTGGAACTCACCTCTTGCTAAATGTTTCCTTTTCTTTTTATATTGCTTGTGTTGAGTGAGCCTAATTCCACCTAATGTGAATGGGGTCATTTGTTTTGATAATTCCAAAGTGTTCCCTCTAGTAAGTCTACCTTTATTAGTGTGCGAACATCAAATACTGACATGCTTTTCAAAGCGCCTACGTCTTTGTGTGTGATTTCCCCCGCTCCCCCCACCCTTATACCGGTATGTAAACAAGGCTGGAGACTTTAGGGTGTTCCATAAAGCAGGATCATTAAGTTAGCCAGTGAACTTTGTTAAGCAGTAAAATATATACATATTTTTTTATTCATTTAAAAATAAACTTTAATATCGGTTGTTAGATATCAAGTCTTATACCATGGTAATTTCACGTCTATTTCTCTTTTCAGTTTGAGGCAGCATTACGTTTGCTAGCAAAGAGCAGTGCCGTTATTGGCTTACTGTAAATAAGTGAATTGTTTTGCTCCATGATGGTTAGCTTGCTAGCTAAAGTTGTTTACAGTTGGCAACCGCTCCTACACTGTTTAGCTACTGTGACACTTGGCTATAGCGTATTGGCTATGGTATGTAGCCTAGTTTGATTGTTGAAGGATTTCCTTTGTGGATTTACTCCGAAACTACCCTGCAAGCATTGCGTTTTCCTTTCCGTTAGCGTAAAATGAAAAGTGAGCCAGTTGTGAGTTGCTTCTGCATGTCTCGTTGGTTAAAAGTGGGACCGTTTCAGCTATGCTACGCTTGCGGTTTAGTTTGGCCGTTAGCGGCAACTGATTTGGGATCCTAGAAATCCCTGGCTTCCATTTGCTTCCTGACAAGAGTTCCCTGACTTCTTCTCACTTCCATCGCTCTGCTCTCTGACCATGCACTGGCTTCCCTGGGACCATTGCATGTTGTGCTATGAGTTCTGTAAACATATGGTTGTATTTCGACTTCCCTGAATGTGTTTTCTTTTTGATTGTCTGCACGTTTTGAGGTGATTACTAGTTTGAGCGAGGCAAGGCGAGGCGCAGAATTGCTAATCTCAATCACATAATGGGTCGTCAAGTCATTTTGCGATGTGAGGTGAATTGTAAATCAGCAATTCTGCGAAGACCGACTGCAACGTAGTTGATCTCAAACATGCATGGTGATCTCTGACTGAATTTATTGAAAGCTCTCCTCTCTGTTGGCAGGCGTCGTCCTGGGAACTCGTACGGAACATCACCCGAAAACACGGAGACCCCCTCCGGAGTGTGTGCCGATGTCCGTGTTCCCTCCACGGCCCTCCACGTATTTGTAAGTTTCTTCATTTCATTCTCCTACACACAGTGTTTTGAGATCAGGCCAGCTCTCTCTCTCACACGTTTAGGTCAATGATGAGATGTAAAAGGTCTGATTGCCCAAGTCCTTTCCCATTGTCCCCTCTGCTCCCAGCAGCCCCTGCTCTACTCCCAGCATGCTCTAGTTGTGCATCGTTGGCCGCAGGGGCTGCTGACAGAGAGGATGACCTCACATCCTGTGTCTCTAAGAGACCAAGGCGTCACAGTGATGATGGACATCCAACATGACTAATCACCAAGGAGTATCGGGGTGTGGGATTGGGATAGGTAGATGATCTCAAGTTTTCAAGCTGAGACCTAAACTTCAGAAAACGATGCAGGAGAGAAAGAAAAATACTTAAATGGCTTTAATGGGCTTTCAATGGAGCTGTGCACCAATTGAGAAAGTGTTTATGAAATGTGTTTGTGGTTTAAAAACAACCTCTGTATCTTCAGTCACCGCCTGTATTTACTGTGTTAACCTGATTCGTATTCATTAGGCACCAAACAGAAGAAATGTTGTCTGTCGCAAACCCCTTTGAAACGTTTTCAGTTGCGTGTGTGCCTGTATCGACACAATGACGTTGAAGAACTCTTTGGTCACCCACTGTGTGTGGCATTTGTCTGTTCAGGACGCCCATGACGGGGAGGTGAATGCGGTGCGGTTCAGCCCAGGCTCCCGACTCCTGGCCACCGGAGGGATGGATCGCAGGGTCAAGCTGTGGGAGGTGGTCTCAGGTATGTGACGTCTTTGTATGAGTAAAGTGTGTGACTGTTGTAGGTCTGGAGGTCAGTGATGAACTGTAAAAGGTCTGATTGCCCAAGTCCTTTCCCATTGTCCCCTCTGCTCCCAGCAGCCCCTGCTCTACTCCCAGCATGCTCTAGTTGTGCATCGTTGGCCACAGGGGCTGCTGACAGAGAGGATGACCTCACATCCTGTGTCTCTAAGAGACCAAGGCGTCACAGTGATGATGGACATCCAACATGACCAATCACCAAGGAGTATCGGGGTGTGGGATTGGGATAGGTAGATGATCTCAAGTTTTCAAGCTGAGACCTTCATGAAAGGAGCATGATTAGAGCGCACCAAACGGGAGTATGTCAATTAGGGATGTGACAAAAGGACCATTTTGCTTAATGTTTAAACTACAATTTCTATCATAGTTTTTCCGTTAAAATGATAAGAAAAATTCCAGGTCAATTCACAATGCAGAATAATGGTCCTATTACTTGGGGCCTATGTATGACCGCTAGGGCCGGTGGAATGAAGTTATATCTACCGCAGTCATATACCTTTGAAAGCGCCTCGGCTATGGCATGTTTACTTGTCTGTAAGGGTACACTACGACTTTTTAACACTAGAACCGCCTGGCCTTTCAGCCTATAAGTACCCACTAGAGAATGTTGAGAACATTGTCAGCGTCTCCTTTAGCATACGCATCAGATGCATATCAACCCGCAAGGTGCGCAAACATAAGCACCAACGCTTGACAAATAGTGCAGAAACAATTGTAAAGGATGAATTGCATGAAGAAATATTTGTGGAAATATATCCATGTAAAAATATAACAATAGTTGGGTTTTTTTAGATAGTCAAGGATATCTTTTGTATAATTCTGCAAAGTCCTAGTGAAAAACTTAGGCATATAGCCTATTTACGACACCATTTCCAGTCAATGACTCATCAACATTCTGACAGGCTAATAAATATGTTTCAATTATGCTATCCGAAGAATAATCATTTGGTTGTGTTTATGAAGGTAACATTAGAATACAATTATTTTTTATATTTCAAAGAACATAATAGCATTAGTTTGTTACTCTAGGACCTCGAAGCCAGTTCCACTGCATTCTTTCATTTCCCCCCTCTAATCAGGGACTGATTTAGACCTGGGACACCTGGTGTGTGCAATTAAATATCAGGTAGAATAGAAAACCTGTAGGCTCCAGACCTCGTAGGCTAGAAGTAAAAACGAAAAACCATTAGTTCAAGAGTAAAATCCATCACAAAGAAATCCATTATTTCGTTTTGGCAGGTCTAAAGAAACATTGTGGAAATAACAATGTATAAAAAAAAAAATCAAAACAGAATTAACATATTTTTACGTTTATTATGTTACTAGTCTTTGCTTAGTAGCCAGAGCAATGCTGCTGCGCGAGTGGTGCTGAACGCATTGATAGCGTGCATATTCTTGGAAAAAGTGATATTTGGAAATAGAGCTGAGCCTTTTGAATTTTGTATAATTTGACAACAGTGTGTCATAGAGCATATTCTGCAGTTTCTGATATTATATAGAAATCTAAACGTTTTACCTGCATTGAGTCTTTTTCTGAAGGAGGATTTGATAGTGATACTCCTTTCCCTGCATCTGTCAATTCCAAGCTGCGCCCATCTCTTCATGTATAATTTGATAACTGATAATATTGTCACTCATCAGACTATTGTCAATTTAATCTGGTCTTTAGGCTAATTCTTATTATGTGTGAAATTAGTTTCGGTATAGTTTAGGTGTAGTTTCGATGGGCCGGCTGCGCAGACTGACAGACATCATTTGCTTCCCCTCACGCATCAACTCGGATAGAGTCAAGGATATGTTTTGCAATATTCTAAAGGCCTACTGCAATACGTAGCATGTTTTCGTTTCCCTTACAATAAATATTTTTATAAAACGGTACCATAACTGCTTCTTTTTACAAATTTAAAATGTAAGAGCGAATGATATCAACCCGTAAGGCGTGCGGTCAAATAATTTGCTATAAACATGAGTGCAAATGCTGATAAATAATTCCTTATCATCCAGTTAGGCCTAATTTTAAATTAAATTGTGAAGTAATGTGCACGATTATTGCCCATTTAATCCATTTGCCATTCAGTGAGGAGAGAGAGACACATTAGCGCCTGGCTGGGTACCAACGTCCTACAGTGCATTGTCTTTGTGGGTTAAGTTGTGAATAGGTATTAAAAAAAATGGGTAGAAAGGCTCAATACTTTTCTGTTTGTGATTTCAAAATTCTGATAAATGAGTAATGTAACATACAAACATTTAGGCAAAGTCAGGGAAGGACATTTTTTTGTTGTCGGTAGGAATCGTCCTCTAGGAATCGACTCCTAAGATGAAATATTTTTGGAACGGAGGAGACTGATTTTAGTTGCTGTACTTCTGAGAATACAAACACTCCCGTCTTTCATAGTGAGGGACGGAGAGAGAGAGGGAGGAGGGGCACAGTATAGGCTGGTCGGCCACCAGGCAGACAGTCAGAACCCTGCACTAGGCCTATCTATCGGCAATCGAAAGCTGTATCTCGCAATGGAATGCTGTATTTCGCAATTTCTTGGCTTGCAATGTCTCGCGACTTCAGTAAAGCAGGGCCTATCATCAATGAATAGGCTAGGATATTCTACACGAAACAGACCGAAGACAGAACACACTGGCATCATTAGAGAAGAGTAAGAGCAGGTGAGCCAGCTGCACTGTGATTTTAATGTTGTGGAGAAAAAAAGAAAAACATGTTTTTCCATTAGGGATTTATGTTAAGGATCCCAATTTTCATTTAAACGTTCACACCCCTAATGCCAATGCCGATTATTCACCACAGCTGCATAGAATTGCCCTATAGTTATTGTAATTTGAAATGGTGGCATGTGTTCAGTTGGTGTGTATTTTAATGTATACTCTTGTTCTGTGTTGTAGCAGTCTATCCTGGGACTTGTTCATTAGTCGCCAAAAGAAAATGGACTGAAGCGGGGAGGGACTACCTGCACTCGTCCAATAAGAATGCAAATTTTAGTTTTTCGCCGCGTGCTACAATTAACATGGCCCTGACATCACCCCCTTTCAAATTGACTGCCATTTATTTGTCTCAAGATTTGAGTAGAATGGTCAGGGACTTCCTCAGGCACCGATTGGGTATGGTTCTGGGGTGTATTCACTAGGAACCCAAAGGAAGCAAATGGGTGGAAACGGCGAGAGACTAACCAGAACATGTCCAATAAGAGAAGCTTATTTATTTGCTAAATGTTTTCCATTGCAAAAATGTTTGCTATGGTGTGCACTAATGAATACCCGTTTTCTTCCTGTATACAGGTCGCTGTGAGCCGAAGGGTGCTCTGACTGGCAGCAACGCCGGGATCACCAGTATAGAGTTTGACAGTGCTGTGAGTGTCATCCTGACAAATCTAATAACCTGTCTAAAATGGCACCCTATATCATGGATCATCAACTAGATTCAGCCGTGGGATGTTTTTTTTCTTGAGCCAATGGTCAGGGGGCCGGAAAATAATTACAAATCATTTGTAAATTGCAAATTCACCGCAAGAAGGCCAAACAGATAGTATTTAACTAAAACATACGTTTGTATATGATTACATACACTACATGACCAAAAGTATGTGGACACCTGCTCGTCGAACATCTCATTCCGAAATCATGGGCATTAATATGGAGTTGGTCCCCCCTTTGCTGCTATAACAGCCTCCACTCTTCTGGGAAGGCTTTCCACTAGATGTTGGAACATTGCTGCGGGGACTTGCTTCTATTCAGCCGCAAGAGCATTAGTGAGGTCAGGCACTGATGTTGGGCGATTAGGCCTGGCTAGCAGTCGGCGTTCCAATTCATCCCAAAGGTGTACGATGGGGTTGAGGTCAGGGCTCTGTGCAGACCAGTCAAGTTCATCCACACCGATCTCGACAAACCATTTCTGTATGGACCTCGTTTTGTAAAAGGAGGCATTGTCATGCTGAAACAGGAAAGGGCCTTTCCCAAACTGTTGCCACAAAGTTGGAATCACAGAATCGTCTAGAATGTCATTATATACTGTAGCGTTAAGATTTCCCTTCACTGGAACTAAGGAGCCAAGTCCGAACCATGAAAACAGCCCCAGACCATTATTCCTCCTCCACCAAACTTTAGTTGGCACTATGTATTCGGACAGTTGCGTTCTCCTGGCATCCGCCAAACCCAGATTCGTCCATCGGACTGCCAGATGGTGGAGTGTGATTCATCACTCCAGACAACGCGTTTCCACTGTTCAAGAGTCCGATGGCAGCAAGATTTACACCACTCCAGCCGACGCTTGGCATTGTGCATGGTGAACTTAGGCTAGTGTGCGGCTGCTCGGCCATGGAAACCCTTTTCATGAAGCTCAGACGAACAGTTATTTTAATGACGTTGCTTCCAGTTTTAGCACTCGGCAGTCCCATTCTGTGAGCTTGTGTGGACTAACACTTTGCGGCTGAGCTGTTGTCGCTCCTAGACGTTTCCACTTCACAATAACAGCACATACAGTTGACCAGGGCACCTCTAGCAGTGCAGAAATTTGACAAACTGACTTGTTGGAAAGATGGCATCCTATGACGGTGCCACGTTGAAAGTCGCTGAGCTCTTCAGTAAGGCCATTCTACTGCCACTGTTTGTCTATGGAGATTGCATGGCTGTTTGCTTGATTTTATACACCTGTCAGCAATTGGTGTGGCTGAAATAGCTGAATCCACTCATTTGAAGGGGTGTCCACATACTTTTGTATATACACTGCATTCGGAAAGTATTCAGACCCCTTGACTTTTTCCACATTTTGTTACGTTACAGCCTTATTCTAAAATGTATTAAATTATATTTTTCCCTCAATCTACACACAATACCCCATAATGACAAAGTGGAAACAGGTTTTTTGCAAATGTATTAAAAATAACAAAACAGATCTTATTTACGTAAGTATTCAGACCCTTTGCTATGAGACTCAAAATTGAGCTCAGGTGTATTCTGTTTCCATTGATCATCCTTGAGATATTTCTACAACTTGATTGGTTCCACCTGTGGTATATTCAATTGATTGGAAAGATATACACCTGTCTATGTCAGGTCCCACAGTTGACAGTGCGTGTCAAAGCAAAAAGCAAGCCATGAGGTCGACGGAATTGTCCGTAGAGCTCCGAGACAGGATTGTGTCGAGGCACAGGTCTGGGGAAGGGTACAAAAAAAATGTCTGCAGCATTGAAGGTCCCCAAGAACACAGTGGCCTCCATCATTCTTAAATGGAAGAAGTTTGGAAACACCAAGACTCTTCCTTGAGCTTTACGCCCGGCCAAACTGAGCAGTCGGGAGAGAAGGTCCTTGGTCAGGTAGGTGACCAAGAACCCGATGGTCACTCTGACAGACCTCCAGAGTTCCTCTGTGGTGATGGGAGAACCTTCCAGAAGGAGAACCATCTCTGCAGCACTACTAATCAGGCCTTTATGGTATTTGTGGTCCTCTGTAGCTCAGCTGGTAGAGCACGGCGCTTGTAACGCCAAGGTAGTGGGTTCGATCCCCGGGACCACCCATACACAAAAAAATGTATGCATGCATGACTGTAAGTCGCTTTGGATAAAAGCGTCTGCTAAATGGCATATTATATTATATTTGCCAGATGGAATCCACTCTTCAGTGAAAGGCACATGACAGCCCGCTTGGAGTTTGCCAAAAGGCACCTAAAGGACTCTCAAACCATGAGAAACAAGATCCTCTGGTCTGATGAAACCAAGGTTGAACTCTTTGGCCTGAATGCCAAGCATCACGTCTGGAGGAAACCTGGCACCATCCTTACGGTGAAGCGTGGTGGCAGCATGCTGTGGGGATGTTTTTCAGCGGCAGGGACTGGGAGACTAGTCAGGATCAAGGGAAGCTGAACGGAGCAAAGTACAGAGAGATCCTTGATGAAAACCTGCTCCGGAGCGCTATGGACCTCAGACTGGGGCGAAGGTTCACCTTCCAACAGGACAACGACCCTAAGCACACAGCCAAGACAACGCACAAGTGGCTTCGGGACAAGTCTCTGAATGTCCTTAAGTGGCCCAGCCAGAGCCCAGACTTGAACCTGGTCGAACATCTCTGGAGAGACCTGAAAATAGTTGTGCAGCGACGCTCCCCATTCAACCTGACAGAGCTTGAGAGGATCTGCAGAGAAGAATGGGAGAAACTCCCCAAATACAGGTGTGCCAAGCTTGTACCAACATACCCAAGAAGAGTTGAGGCTTTAATTGCTGCCGAAGTTGCTTCAACAAAGTACTGAGTAAAGGGGCTGATTACTTGTGTAAATGAGATTTTATTTACATGAGATATTGTGTAGATTGAGTTTTTTTATTTTTATAATGCTGTAACATAACAAAATGGGAAAACGTCAATGGGTCTGAATACTTTGCAAATGCACAGTGTATATTTCACTATTAAATCCCTTGGTCATGTCCAACAATAAAGAAAATAAACGGGACTCTTCCATGTAAAGTAAAGCGGACTATATAGGAAATGGGCTGCCATTTCAGACAAACCCTAATTTCCCCTGTTAAGGTCACAGGCAATCTCTGCCTTCTGCTTTGCTACATTTAAAAAACATTTTAGTCATTTAGCAGACGCTCTTATCCAGAGCGACTTACAGTTAGTGAGTGCATACATTTTCATACTCGAACCCACAACCCTGGCGTTGCAAGCGCCATGCTCTACCAACTGAGCTACACAGAGCTACATCTGCTGGAGAGGATAAGTTCGTTAGAGTTACCACCCTCAGAAATTGCAGGCCAAATAAGTGCTTCACAGAGTTCAAGTAACAGACACATCTCAACATCAACTGCTCAGAGGAGACTGCGTGAATCAGGTCTTCGTGGTCGAATTGCTGCAAAAAAACACTACTAAAGGACACCAATAAGAAGAAGAGACTTGCTTGGTCCAAGAAACACGAGCAATGGATGTTAGACCGGTGGAAATCTGTCTGGAGTCCAAATTTGAGATGTTTGGTTCCAACCGCCGTGTCTTTCTGAGACTCAGAGTAGGTGAACGGATGATTTCCGCATGTGTGATTTCCGCATGTGTGGTTCCCACCGTGAAGCATGGAGGAGGAGAAGTGATGGTGTGGGGGTGCTTTGCTGGTGACACTGTCTGTGATTTATTTAGAATTCAATGCACACTTAACCAGCATGGCTACCACAGCATTCTGCGGCGATACACCATCCCATCTGGTTTGGGCTTAGTGGGACTACCATTTGTTTTTCAACAGGACAATGACCCAAAACACACCTCCAGGCTATTTGACCAAGAAGGAGAGTGATGGAGTGCTGCATCAGATGACCTGGCCTCCCACAATCACCTGACCTCAACTCAATTGAGATGGTTTGGGATGAGTTGGACTGCAGAGTGAAGGAAAAGCAGCCAACAAGTGCTCAGCATACACGGGAACTCCTTCAAGACTGTTGGAAAATCATTCCTCATGAAGCTGGTTGAGAGAATGCCAAGAGTGTGCAAAGCTGTCATCAAAGCAAAGGGTGGCTACTTTGAAAATTGTAAAATATATTTTGATTTGTTTAATACTTTCTTGGTTACTACATGATTCCATATGTGGTATTTCATAGTTTTGATGTCTTCACTGTAAGTCGCTCTGGATAAGAGCGTCTGCTAAATGACTAAAATATAATATAAATATGCTATTATTCTACAATGTAGAAAATAGTAAAAAATAAAGAAAAACCCTTGAATGAGTAGGTGTGTCAACTTTTGACTGGTACTGTACTTTAGTCACACGTGATATTTTGACACCACTAGCCCAATTTTTACGAAACTTAGGTGAGTGATGTGTCTTGCCATAGAGATCCGGCATTTACAAACTTCTAACAAACATATCTCCTGTCCCGTTTGAACTTGAATTTTTTTCACTAATTGGCCCAAGGGCTGCATTATGCATGGGGGACGACATGTTTGTTTTTTGCTTGTGGATACTTGCACAGCAAGTTGAACTGGAGTCACATCTGTAGATCTTTTGGTCTTTTTTGTAAACTGTTGCAACCTGAAAATTGTACTGTACTTTGAAAAAAAAAAAATATATATATATATATATATGAGTCATACTTTGAGCTAGATTCCTTGTTTCATTTTCAGTGGGCCTCAGAGTTCAGGTTTAGATAATTTAATTGAATGACCAACCTCTGACTGCATTGATGCACTTCCACTCCACTGTTTAACTGGGTTGTGTGTGTCTCAGGGCTCCTACTTGCTGGCTGCATCCAATGACTTTGCCAGTAGGATCTGGACTGTGGATGACTACAGACTGAGGGTAAGTGTGCCACAGAAGGGCCCTTCTATACATCCAGAAGAAAACAAACCGAATTTGCTTGTTTTTATTGCTGTAGCATGCAAGTGAATGTTGTAGGGCTGACCCCATTTAGTCGACTGGTCGATTGTTTGGTCGATAGGCTGTTGGTCGACCCAAGTTATTTTTATTTTTTTTTAACAGTCGCAAATAGATGAAGAAAAAACAATTACATGAGACACCTGTCTGATTTTGCTCCTGTCTCAGTGGACTAATCCATTGACTAAGCCGAGGGAATGCCACGGTCCAAGAAGAATGGGAGTGTGGCTAAGATGCACAAGGCACGTCTCTCTCCAGAATGCGATCTCTCCCGCCATTTTGTGCACTTTCATTGTTTCATAACTTCATTGTGTGACTTGTTTGCCCTTTGATTGTTAGTCTATCAATTCCCCATTACATATATCACCAGTAGTAGCCTACATTTACCATTGCAGACAGGCCATGCGTAGCCTTTGTGATTTATAAGATATTTATTTTTATCAGGATATTTTCTACCTGCAGGCTGCAATGTTTTTTTTGTGTTTGCTTTATGTAGGCTATTTTTACATAGTTGGCAATGACAAAGTTAATTTTAGATTTGTATCATTTTCATTTAGATTAACCAAATGACAATGATCTTGAGATACAAAGACTTATTACTAATGAAATGAAACTGTTCCATAAATGTGAATATGAAAATCATAACTGGCACGCAGGTAGGTAGAAATGGTAAGATACATTGGCACTCCAAATGGGAAAGGTTGCCGACCTCTGGTGTTGCCTATTGCCGGCAACTTCAGAGGTGTAATGGCAGAATCTGCGAAGGGGGGTCGGGAACAGATTTTTTTTCTTGTGGTTAGGCTATCTTCATCTCTGGCTCCCTCTTGAGTCATTTGTGTCGTACTTATTTAATCAAGCATCGTGCTTAAAGCATCAGACAAGCTCAATACATACAGTGCATTCAGAAAGTATTTAGACCCCTTCACTTTTTCCACATTTTGTTAAGTTACAGCCTTAATCTAAAATGAATTAAATTAAATGTTTTCCTCATCAATCTACACACAATACCCCATAATGACAAAACGAAAATGTTTGCACATTTATTAAAAATTAAAAACAAACCTTATTTACATAAGTATTCAGACCCTTTGCTATGAGACTCGAAATTGAGCTCAGGTGCATCCTGTTCCCATTGATCATCCTTGATGTTTCTACAACTTGATTGGAGTCCAACTGTGGTATATTCAATTGATTGGACATGATTTAGAAAGGCACACACCTGTCTATATAAGGTCCCACAGTTGACAGTGCATGTCAGAGCAAAACCAAGCCATCAGGTCGAAGGAATTGTCTGTAGAGCTCCGAGACAGGATTGCGTCGAGGCACAGATCTGGGGAAGGGTACCAAACAATGTCTGCAGCATTGAAGGTCCCCAAGAACACCGTGGCCTCCATCATTCTTAAATGGAAGAAGTTTGGAAACACCAAGACTCTTCCTAGAGCTGGCCACCCGGCCAAACTGAGCAATCGGGTGAGGAGGGCCTTGGTCAGGGAGGTGACCAAGAACCTGATGGTCACTCTGACAGAGCTCTAGAGTTCCTCTGGTGATGGGAGAACCTTCCAGAAGGACAACCATCTCTGCAGCACTCCACCAATCAGGCCTTTATGGTAGGGTGGCCAGACTGAATCCACTCCTCAGTAAAAGCCACATGACAGCCCTCTTGGAGTTTGCCAAAAGGCACCTAAAGGACTCTCAGACCATGAGAAACAAGATTCTCTGATCTGATGAAACCAAGATTTAAGTCTTTGGCCTGAATACCAAGCGTCACGTTTGGAGGAAACTAGGCACCGCTCATCACCTGGCCAATATCATCCCTACGGTGAAGCATGGACGTGGCAGCATCATGCTTTGGGGATGTTTTTCAGCGTCAGGGACTGGGAGAGTAGTCAGGATCGAGGGAAAGATGAACGGAGTAAAGTACAGAGATCCTTTGATGAAAACCTGCTCCAGAGCGCTAAGGACCTCAGACGGGGGCGACGGTTCACCTTCCAACAGGACAGCGACCCTAAGCACACAGCCAAGACAACGCAGGAGTGGCTTAGGGACAAGTTTCTGAATGTCCTTGAGTGGCCCAGCCAGAACCCGATCGAACATCTCTGGAGAGACCTGAAAATAGCTGTGCAGCGACATTCCCATCCAACCTGACAGAGCTTGAGAGGATCTGCAGAGGAGAATGGGAGAAATTCCCCAAGTGTGAAAAGCTTGTAGCGTCATACCCAAGAAGACTCGAGGCTGTAATCTCTGCCAAAGGTGCTTCAACAAAGTACTGAGTAAAGGGTCTGAATACTTATGTAAATGTTATATTTCAGTTAATTTTTTATACATTTGCAAACAATATATAAACCTGTTTTTGCTTTCTCATTATGGGGTATTGTGTGTAGATTGAAAAACAATTGAATCAATTTTAGAATAAGGCTGTAACGTAACAAAATATGGAAAAAGTCAAGGGGTCTGAATACCTTTCGAATGCACTGTATATAAGAACATACGCCCCTTTCGGAGCCTAAAATAACACTCTTCAAGGCTGTGTTTGTGAGATACTGCAAAAGTTCTATGCTGATGGTCAATGATGTGATAATGTAAGAGGCCTGATGCCCAGTTCCACTCACTGCTATCCATCGGCTCCTAACAGCCCCTGCTCTATTCTCAGCATGCTCTAGTTGTGCATCGTTGGATACAGAGGCTGCTGACACCGAGGATGATGTCACATCCTGTGTCTTTAAGAGACCAATGGCGTCACTGTGATGACAGACATCCAACAGAACCAATCCATAAGGAGTATCAGGCTGTAGTACGGGGCTGGGCCGCTGATCTCAACTTTCAAACTGAGACCGTACCTGTGTTCTCAAACACAAAGGGCCATGAGTTTTCCTTCACCTTAATGTGGCTGGGTGAAAATCTCCAGGCCTAGTTAGTTATACGCTCCAACTACGGCCCAGAGATTGTGCTGGACAGGGTTGTGTTCACTAGGCACGAAATGGAAGAAAACGCTTTGAAACAGTGAAACGGTGCGGTACTATCTGAACTTGGCCAATAAGAAACTCTCGTTTTCATTCGTTTCCCCCCAGCACACGCTGACAGGCCACAGCGGGAAGGTGCTGGCGGCTCGCTTTCTCCTGGACAACGCTCGTATCGTCTCCGGGAGCTACGACAGGACTCTGAAACTGTGGGACCTGCGCAGCAAAGTCTGTAAGAGTTTACTTTTTTATTTTACCCATTAGTGTTAGCATTTCGTTTACGTTCCTCCTTGTCTCTGGTTTCCCCTTTTTTAAGGGATTTTGGTTTTTTTCAGCCACACTAAATGGCTTTTAAGATTTTAACGCAGATTCACTGTATGGTCTACTCGTTAGGATTAGTTTTTCTTGTGGACGGAGCCCTGGGTCAGTTCTGAATCCCCAGTCTGTTTCTTCCTCTCAGGCATGAAGACTGTGTTTGCTGGGTCCAGCTGTAATGACATAGTCTGCACAGAGCAGTGTGTCATGAGCGGCCATTTTGATAAGAAAGTGCGGTTCTGGGACATCAGGTGAGTGTGGAGGGATAGTCCATAATAGATGGGTTATTGACGTCCAACTAACTATCCACTAACCTTAAAGGGGCAATCGGCAGGTGAAAGAATAACAAAGCGATTTCCCAGCCCCTTGTTCGGTAAAAAGCTGCGGGATAGGCCTGGAGAAATAGGACTGACCATCCATGATATCAAAATTAGTTTTAACCATGTTTTGAGGCTATATAGTGGTTGTTTACATTTACTTTGTTTACAAACATTTGAGTAAAACAAGTTTATTTTGGGTTCTGATGGGGTACGACATTTGAAATAAGTTCATGAGACATTTATAAGTTATATTCTTCAAGAATCAATGGGTACACATCATTAATTTTTAAGTCAGAAAATGATGACGCAACTGCAGATTGCCCCTTTAACCTTACCAAAACGGTAAACTTAACCATATCCCTAGTAATGCTTAACGTATGCTTCCCATTTCTTTTTCAAAATCTGCCATGAAATTAGCAGCAGCAGTATAGAAACGTTGCTAGGCAAATGCATTCTTCTCTCCTAGATGCAGAATTAAAGGGGAATTACACTCAAATGTAAAGTTTAGTTTTTTGCCCAGACCTCAAATGGTCATCTGTGATTTAAGCATTGACATGGACTCGGAACATCCCATTTCGTTGTTTATCTATAAATAATTGTAATTTTGAGTGGAAAAATACAAAATGATCAAAAACCAGGAAAAAATAAAATGGAGAAAACAACAGAATTCAGGAAAGATGTAACAGAATTTGGGGGAAATATACATATTTTACAGGACCCCCTTAAGGCTATGATGCAATATCGCTGAGCAACGGCGAGGGGTATGAGACACTGGAGCAATAATGACCAACATGGACATGAAAAATAGATTTCATATGAAGCACAATTTCAAACATTATTTATTTACTCATTTATTCCCCATTTTATTTATAGCTTGTTATTGCGAGTTGACTGCCACAGCTGTACTGGGATTCATCAGCAAACAAGCAATAAAGAAGTGTTGCCCCTGCTCTGTCCATCCACTGCTAGTCAACTCAATGGCAATGCAGACACAGATAGCTACTATAGATTTTAGATGTGAATGGTACTAATCTAGCTAGCCAGCTAGTTAAACATACAAAAAAACAATCTAAAACGGAAAAATAAATGTAAATGGCTATAGCTAGCTAACAATCTGTGGTTGGCTAGCTAGCTAATTTAGCCAGTTTGTCGCCCTGACTTAGCATAAGTCGCTTAGCCTGCGCCCTACCATGGATATTTTCGTCAGTTAAACATGACAAACTTAAAAGCAGCTCATGCTAGAAAATGGGGGAAAAGTATATCTCATGCTGCTATAGGTGAATATCCAAATAATGGGAATGTGTGGAGGTGGAGAACCCAGCTGGGGAATATCATTCATACATACATACATGCCTACATACCCAGCGTATTTGTGTCGTGAGCAATGGCTTTATGGGTTCTTTGCCTAAGGGGTCGTTTTCTTGTCATGACACTGGCTTTTTGTCCTGGGGTGTATTCACTAGGAACCAAGCGGACGCAAACATGCCTAAACTGGGAGGGACCTACATGTATGTGTCCAATTAACTCATTTTGCTACGGTGTGCTGTAATGAATACCCCCTCTCGTAACGCTGTTACCATTTCTTAGCTAGCGCCGTCTGCGCATTCATTTGGTTGTTCCTTTTTTTAGAGCGGAGAGTATAGTCCGCGAGCTGGAGCTCCTGGGCCGAGTCACGTCTCTTGACCTGAACCACGACCGCACCGAGCTGCTCACCTGCTCCCGGGACGACCTGGTTAAGATCATCGACCTGCGCAGCAACGCGGTCCGCCAGACCTTCAGGTATGGGGACATGTCACTGCTCTAGGACTGTCGGTTTCTTTATAGTATATTTGTAGTTATGGAGTGCCTCACCCATAGTGTCAATTAAGATAATCTGAGGCGATTTGCATTGGTGGTCAGAGATTCTCTGTATTCTTATTGGTGAATAGATGCTGTATGTAGGCAATGGAATAGTCCTAATAGTGCAAACCCTGCATGTCTGGCACTCCAGGCGCAATCGTTTCCTTTGAATCCTATTGCAAAGGAAACCAAATACTATTTGAACCCAGGTCTGATGTGGATTAGTGGTGTTGGAGGTTTATGTCAACAGTGTTTTCTCATCTCTCCTCCCAGTGCTCAGGGCTTCAAGTGTGGCGCTGACTGGACCCGAGTCACCTTCAGGTGAGTGGACACCTTTTATGCCAGGGCTGTGTCCTATATGGCACCCTATTCCCTACATAGTGCACTACTTTTGACCAGAGCCCATTGGGCCTGGTCAAAAGTAGTTCACTATATAGGGAATAGGGTGCCATTTGGGACACATCCCAATCATTGGTTTATAGTTTTACTAACATCGGTCGTGGTCAAATTCCCTACCATTCTCCATGTAAGTGTGCACATGCTCACCTCTCCAACCACAGTCCCACGACTCTCCACTTGAACCCCTTGTTTTGAACCTCCCATTCCCTTGTGTACTCCTCAGTCCCGATGGCAGTTATGTGGCGGGGGGCTCTGCAGACGGAGCTCTGTATGTGTGGAACGTCTTGACGGGCAAGTTGGAGCGCACCCTGGACAAGAACCACTGGTCAGTTTGAACTTCCGGAGTAGGATCAAGACTCCCTTCGACACTGCTTTCTAGTCAGTTTTGCACTTTTGTTTGAAAAACTGTTTCAGGTTCAGGATTTGAGAGGGTAAGCCATAGACTTGGATAGACAGCTCTAGTACCACAAAGGCTGTTTTAACTTGGGCAGCGCCATTGAGGACTTATACCATTTTGACGTAGTGAACTGGGTGGGACTTCCTATGCAGTGTTTCCCCTAGAATTCTATCATCAATGGCAAGGGTCGGGTAAGGATTCGTGGAGGAGGATCCCAGGGGCATGCCCCACATGGATAACGTTTTTTGTATAAGGACTGTGAGAAAGTCAGGTCTGGTGAGTTTTTAATAGGACATTCCACTCCAAAATGAATGAAAATAAAATTATGCCGACACCATCGTAAATGTAATGAAATAGGCTGAAACATGGGGTTACCCATATGCATACCCCATTGGGCTAATCATTAGCTAGATCCCAAACTCTAAACACGATCAATGCATTTAATGTCCCCACAAAAAAACATAACATTAACACAGTGAATAATATGGTCTCACCTATGCACACAGTGAATTGCAGAGGCTAAATGCACCAAAACCGGGCTGCGTCTCAACCGGCCGTGATCGGGAGTCCAATAGGGCGGCGCACAATTGGCCCAGCGTCGTCCGGGTTAAGGGAGGCCGGGGTAGGCCGTCATTGTAAATAAGAATTTGTTCTTATCTGACTTGCGTTGTTTAATAAAGGTTAAATATATATATATATATAAACACACACACACAGTTGAAGTCGGAGGTTTTACATACACCTTAGCCAAATACATTTAAACTCAGTTTCACAATTCCTGACATTTAATCCTAGTAAATATTCCCTGTCTTAGGTCAGTTAGGATCACCACTTTATTTTAAGAATGTCAAATGTCCGAATAATAGTAGAGAATTATTTCTTTCAGCTTTTATTTCTTTCATCACATTAACAGTGGGTCAGAAGTTTACATACACTCAATTAGTGTTTGGTAGCATTGCCTTTAAATTGTTTAACTTGGGTCAAACGTTTCGGGTAGCCTTCCAAAAGCTTACCACAATAAATTGGGTGAATTTTGGCCCATTCCTCCTGACAGAGCTGGTGTAACTGAGTCAGGTTTGTAGGCCTCCTTGCTCGCACACGCTTTTTCAGTTCTGCCCACAAATGTTCTATAGGATTGAGGTCAGGGCTTTGTGATGGCCACTCCAATACCTTGACTTTGTTGTCCTTAAGCCATTTTGCCACAACTTTGTAAGTATGCTTGGGGTCATTGTCCATTTGGAAGACCCATTTGCGACCAAGCTTTAACTTCCTGACTGATGTCTTGAGATGTTGCTTCAATATATCCACATAATTTTCCTTCCTCATGATGCCATCTATTTTGTGAAGTGCACCAGTCCCTCCTGCAGCAAAGCACCCCCACAGCATGATGCTGCCACCCCCATGCTTCACGGTTGGGTTGGTGTTCTTCAGCTTGCAGGCCTTCCCCTTTTTCCTCCAAACATAACGATGGTCATTATGGCCAAACAGTTCCTATTTTTGTTTCATCAGACCAGAGGACATTTCTCCAAAAAGTAAGATCTTTGTCCCCATGTGCAGTTGCAAACCGTAGTCTGGCTTTTTTATGGCGGTTTTGGAGCAGTGGCTTCTTCCTTGCTGAGCGGCCTTTCAGGTTATGTTGATATAGGACTCGTTTTACGGTGGGTATAGATACTTTTTTACCTGTTTCCTCCAGCATCTTCACAAGGTCCTTTGCTGTTGTTCTGGGATTGATTTGCACTTTTCGCACCAAAGTACGTTAATCTCTAGGAGACAGAATGTGTCTCCTTCCTGAGCGGTATGACGGCTGTGTGGTCCCATGGTGTTTATACTTGCGTACTATTGTTTGTACAGATGAACGTGGTACCTTCAGGCGTTTGGAAATTGCTCCCAATGATCATCCAGACTTGTGGAGGTCTACAATTTTTTTTCTGAGGTCTTGGCTGATTTTCTTTTTGATTTTCCCATGATGTCAGGCAAAGAGGCACTGAGTTTGAAGGTAGGTCTTGAAATACATCAACAGGTACACCTCCAATTGACTAAAATGATGTCAATTAGCCTATCAGAAGCTTCTAAAGCCATGACATCATTTTCTGGAATTTTCCAAGCGGTTTAAAGGCCCAGTCAACTAAGTGTATGTAAACGTCTGACCCACTGGAATTGTGATACAGTGAATTATAAGTGAAATAATCTGTCTGTAAACAATTGTTGGAAAAATTACTTGTCATGCACAAAGTAGATATCTTAACTGACTTGCCAAAACTATAGTTTGTTAACAAGAAATTTGTGGAGTGGTTGAAAAACGAGTTTTAATGGCTCCAACCTAAGTGTATGTAAACTTACGACTTCAACTGTATACAGTGCAGATCGCTCATTATTAGGAGTTGAGAAATACAAGTAGTAGCCATGGAAAGCTGCTTTCAAAAGTTTTTCCTGCAATTGCATTAAGAAATGTGCATTGACTGCTTGTGCATCAGAATGCATGTTTCTCTCCTTGTGTCACTCGCAACTTGAATGCACCTCGAGAGGAATATTTATTTATCGCATAGAACACACACAACGACAAGCTGACAAGGTAAATAGCTAGGTAAACTATTCTACTATGGGGTTGTCTGTTGCTGTTCATTACTCCTCTTGTTGGCAGAGGAATAGTACATGTTGACAGTTCTAGCATCTTCAAAGTTTTCCTCTTTAAAAATATTATTTAGTTGGTGTGTGCTAAATGAAAACAGGGCGAACACTGCTATGGGTTAAGGAAAGATCACAGAATTCCATCCAGGTCAGCAGGAGGTATCAGCCATTATAAACTTGGTGGGTCGAGCCCTGAATGCTGATTGGCTGAAAGCCGCGGTATATCAGACTGTATACCACGAGTGTGACAAAACATGTATTATTACTGCTTTAATTACGTTGGTAACCAGTTTATAATAGCAATAAGTCACCTCAGGGGTTTGTGATATATGGCTAATATACCACGGCTAAGGTCTGTATCCAGGCACTCCACGTTGCGTCGTGCTTAAGAACAGCCCTTAGCCGTGGTATATTGGCCATATACCACACACCCTCGGGCCTTATTGCAAATCTATAAAAAATATACAAATGACATTTACATAAGTATTTAGACCCTTTACTCAGTACTTTGTTGAAGCACCTTTGGTAGTGAGACCTTGTAGCGTCATACCTCAAGTCTTCTTGGGTATGACGCTACAAGCTTGGCACACATGTATTTGGGGAGTTTCTCCCATTCTTTTCTGCAGATCCTCTCAAGCTCTGTCAGGTTAAATGGGGGAGCGTCGCTGCACAACTATTTTCAGGTCTCTCCAGAGATGTTAGATCGGGTTCAAGTCCGGGCTCTGGCTGGGCCACTCAAGGACATTCAGAGACTTGTCCCGAAGCCACTCCTGCGTTGTCTTGGCTGTATGCTTAGGTTAGTTGTCCTGTTGGAAGGTGAACCTTCGCCCCAGTCTGAGGTCCTTAGCGCTCTGGAGCAGGTTTTCATCAAGGATCTCTCTGTACTTTGCTCCGTTCAGCTTTCCCTCGATCCTGACTAGTCTCCCAGTCCCTGCTGCTGAAAATCATCTCCACAGCATGATGCTGTCACCACCATGCTTCACCGTAGGGATGGTGCCAGGTTTTCTCCAGATGTGACGCTTGGCATTCAGGCCAAAGTGTTCAATCTTGTTTCTCATGGTCTGAGAGTGCTTTAGGTGCCTTTTGGCAAACTCCAAGCGGGCTGTCGTGCCTTTTTACTGAGGAGTGGCTTCCATCTGGCCACTCTACCATAAAGGCCTGATTGGTGGGGTGCTGCAGAGATGGTTGTCCTTCTGGAAGGTTCTCCCATCTCCACAGAGGCACTCTGGAGCTCTGTCAGTGACCATCGGGTTCTGGGTCACCTCCCTGACCAAGGCCGTTCTCCCCCGATTGCTGTTTGGCCGGGCGGCCAGCTCTAGGAAGAGTCTTGGTGTTTCCAAACTTCTTCCATTTAAGAATGATGGAGGCCATTGTGTTCTTGGACTTTCAATGCTGCAGAAATGTTTTGGTACCCTTCCCCAGATATGTGCCTCGACACAATCCTTTGTCGGAGCTCTACGGACAATTCCTACGACCTCATGGCTTGGTTTTTGCTCTGACATGCACTGTCAACTGTGGGACCTTTATATAGGCAGGTGTGTGCCTTTCCAAATCATGTCCAATCAATTGAATTTACCACAGGTGGACTCCAATGAAGTTGTAGAAACATCTCAAGGATGATCAATGGAAACAGGATGCACCTGAGCTCAATTTAGATTATCATAGCAAAGGGTCTGAATACTTATGTAAATAAGATATTTCCGGGTTGTTTTTTACATTTGCAAAAATGTTTAAAAACCTGTTTTCACTTTGTCATTATGGGGTATTGTGTGTAGATTGATGAGGAAATTTGTATTTAATCAATTTTAGAATAAGTCTGTAACGTAACAAAATGTGGAAAATGTCAAGGGGTCTGAGTACTTTCCGAATGCACTGTACTCGTGAGCAAACAATCTATAACTGCAGATGGCATTTAAATAACCAACCTTGTGTTTTGCCTGTTCAGACAACACGCTCCAGGTGGCAGTGTGCACCCTTTGTTTGTTGTCCGACTCATAGTAGAAGACTAAATGTACTTTAAAATGAAGAAAGCCCTCAATGGCGCTGCCCATGCTGTCACAGAAGCCATTATGGCGCAGATGCAAGTAAAGGCAGTTTTTCCATATCTTTGGGGTAAGGGGTAACATTTACATTTACATTTACATTTTAGTCATTTAGCAGACGCTCTTATCCAGAGCGACTTACAGGAGCAATTAGGGTTAAGTGCCTTGCTCAAGGGCACATTAACGTCATTTAGCAGACGCTCTTAGCCAGAGCGACTCGCAAATTGGTGCGTTCACCCTATAGCCAGTAGGATAACCACTTTACAATTTGGGGGGGGGGGTTAGAAGGAACACTTTATCCTATCCCAGGTATTCCTTAAAGAGGTAACCTTAACTTCTACCTGAAACTCCTGTTCTGCCATCCTGCTCAGTTCTGACGTTCTGTTTTCTCTTCTCTTAGCTCGCCCATCAACTCGGTGTCCTGGTCGCCATCGGGAGCCTACGTGGTCAGTGTGGGGAAGGGCAGCAAGGCCGTGCTCTGGTCTGATATGTGATTGGCCATGCTCTGCTCTGACCCTCTGCCATTGGGTGACTGGCTGTCTGTCTGGACTGTTCAATTGAGGCACAGACTGGACAGGGGGTTCCCTAGCCCCACCCTCTAATGTCCAACCCCCCCATCACTTTGCCTGACTGGCATTGGACCATTCTGTGCTCCGACGCGTTGGGGGGGGGGGGGGTTTCTTGCCTATAGGAAGGAGGTCATCCGGTGTCAGCAGAGCGTTAGTTGGTGTCCAGTTGAAAGTGTCAGTGAAAAGAGCAATGAAGGCAGAGTTTTCTCTTGAAGTAAAACGAATTCATATATCCATTTGAAATGATATCCAAGCAAGGAGAGTGAGAGTTAGACAGTTGAACTAAGAAATGACATTATAAAATAGTTGTTGCCAAATTGCCATTATAAACAGAGCTGGATTGTCTGTGTTTACGACTGCAATCGGACACGTGGTTAGTTTTACAAGACCTTGGGGTGGGCAGAGGCTTTTTAAAGTTGAAGTCTGTCTGTGTTCGTCTCCTGGGCCCACTTTTTCAAAACTTATCTGATCGGATTTCGGCAATTGGATATAATTAAATCCATAGAAATATAATTAATAGAACAGGCGTATCATTGACTTGAATGTGGATGTCCGTTCGATTATTTCTATGTATTTAATCCAATCAAATTGCCGAAATCAGATTACTTTGAAAAACTGGGCCCAGGTTTCACTTTTAAATCGATTCCTGTTTTTGGCCTTAAAAAATATATAAGAATGCATGGCAACCGTAACGGAGAGCACTGATATTGTGCAGTTCCCGGTCTTTCTAATGTGTAGCAGTATTTACATTCACTTTACACCACCCTGGCTGTGTACGAAATGGCACAAGGTGGGTGGTTGGATATTGGTTGTCTCAAACTGGTTGGGAGCATTGAGTTGTCAAGGGTCAAGTTAATACTGTAATGCAGTGCTCTTCAATCCTTGTCCTGGCTACCAACAGGGTCTGTTATATGGTTGTGTTATAGCTCTGCACCAACACACCACAACAAGTGCTTAAGCAGTTGTACTGGGCTGGAACAAAAGCCTACACACCTTGTGGGTCCTCGGGACCAGGATTGAATAACACTGCTGTAAGGAGTGTGAAGACGTGTTGTTGTGGACAAGACTAAGCACAATTCTCCATAACAAACAAACTCGTGCCAATCACAATGAAACATGCCCTCGATGTAACATTTAAACAGGGAATGCTCTGTTTGAGATGACAATTCTCTAGACTGTTGGAATGCACACACACACTTGGCACAAATCTGCTTAATACTATTTATTCAGGTGTTTGTTCAGTGTTATGTCCTATCAGTCACTGTCAGCATCAAAATAATGCAAAGTTCCGGTCTTGGAGGTCCACAGCGTGTGCTGGTTCTTCTTGAAACTCTGTACTTGATCGATCAATACTAGACCCGTTTATTGGTCAGCTCACCTCGATTCCAGGGGTGAAATGCTGGGCCACTTTCTGGAGGGATGCATAGTTCAGGACGTTACAAGAAACGTTTTGTTTAGAGCTGTCATGATTCCCATTTATAAAAGCATGTACAGTATGTTCTAATCTACATCATGTATTTGTATCTTTACTTTTATGTAGACCTAAAGCTGACCCCATCTTCCAAAGATGCTAAGCAGACACTGTGGTCCTCCAGAGACTGGGGATTAGCTCCACTCCTTAAAACTTGCATGTTGTATTTGTTCCAGTCTTTTTCATTACAATGGACATATGTGTCATGTTTACATGATGCTGTTCTAAATATCAATTACTAGTATCTTTCGCCACATGGGCAGGGAACCCCAGTCCCTCAAGGATCACCTGGTCCAATGGGATCTGCTGACAAAGGGCCAGGTTCAGTAGTAAAACATTGTCGAACATTGCAGGTAGCAATACCATAAATAGATTCAACATGATTCCTTGCTTCAATATGTCAGAGAGCCATGTTCTACATATTTCTATCTGGAAGTTACACAATGTTGAGTCCTGAGGCGTATACTACAAAGCAAGATCAATGCTTTAGCCAGCAAACTTGCCTAAATATTCCTGAAAAAACTAATTTTTTAGAAAGATACGTTTGAAAATGCATGGTCTGATTGAACTAACAACCAAAAGCACATATCTTAGTTTAGCTTTCCTAATGAACCAGAAAATCTGTGATTATTTCTGTTTATCAAAGTTAGCTGGCTAACTCATTGATCCTGCTTTGTAGTATATACTTCAGTTCACCCCTGTCATATCCATTATGATCTAAAAGGCAAAAAGTGATCTGAGACAACGTATGAATACATGCCCTGGATGATACAAGGCACTGATAAGATTGAACAGGGGATTCTCTCTAAAGAGTGTTCTGTTGAAATAGGCCAGCATATCCTCTTCAGGGTCATGTTCAGTAGGCACCAAATAGAAGAAAACGGACTGAAACAGAGAGGGACTACCTGGACTTGTCCAATAAGAGCTAATTTTTGTTTCCTGTTTTATTTTATTTTTTACTTTCGTGCCCAAATGAACATGACCCAGGACTCCTTCCCTCTGGCTAACTCCAAGCTTCAGTCATCGTGTACAGGCCAGGGGAAGGGGAGGTTGGTTTTGAAATGTGCTTTGTAAACTGCTGATCAGCAGTCCTTTACCCCACCCCTCTGCGATCAGCAAAAAGATTGTAAAGCTTAAGTTATATTATGTATGTATATGGAACATTCTGTATGTGTTAATGTATGCACACTGAGAAAGTGTGGGAACATTTGTGTGTTATAGCGTTTTTTCGGTGGGGTTAGGCAGATGGTAGCTGACTACAGATGACGTGTGTCAATAAAATTACTATCTTACTGGTGGTAATGTGCACTATAACTGAAACTTGAGAACTATTACAGTCAGTACTATGATCAATTCTATCTAGGCACAAAGTCTTCTCAATAAAGATTTCTCAATAAAATGTTAAGGGAAACGATACAAGCAAACAGCTTTTCCACATATTGTGTAATGGTTGCATAATGAAGCATGCATGAGAGCACCAGCTGTTCCGGATGACTATGTGATCACGCTCTCCGTAGCCGATGTAAGACTTTTAAGCAGGTCAACATTCACAAGGCCGCAGGGCCAGATGGATTACCAGGACGTGTACTCCGAGCATGTGCTGACCAACTGGCAAGTGTCTACACTGACATTTTCAACATGTCCCTGACTGAGTCTGTAATACCAACATGTTTCAAGCAGACCACCATAGTCCCTGTGCCCAAGGACACTAAGATAACCTGCCTAAATGACTACCGACCCATAGCACTCACGTCTGTAGCCATGAAGTGCTTTGAAAGGCTGGTCATGGCTCACATCAACACCACCATTATCCCAGAAACCCTAGACCCACTCCAATATGTATACCGCCCCAACAGTTCGACAGATGATGCAATCTCTATTGCACTCCACACTGCTCTTTCCCACCTAGACAAAAAGAACACCTACGTGAGAATGCTGTTCATTGACTACAGCTCAGCGTTCAACACCATAGTGCCCTCAAAGCTCATCACTAAGCTAAGGATCCTGGGACTAAACACCTCCCTCTGCAACTGGATCCTGGACTTACTGACAGGCTGCCCCCAGGTGGTAAGGGTAGGTAACAACACATCTGCCACGCTGATCCTCAACACGGGGGCCCCTCAGGGGTGCGTGCTCAGTCCCCTCCTGTACTCCCTGTTCACCCATGACTGCATGGCCAGGCACGACTCCAACACCATTAAGTTTGCTGACGACACAACCGTGGTAGGCCTGATCACCGACAACAATGAGACAGCCTATAGGGAGGAGGTTCGAGACCTGGCAGTGTGGTGCCAGGATAACCTCTCCCTCAACGTGATCAAGACAAAGGAGATGATTGTGGACTACAGGGAAAAAAAGAGGACTGAGCACGCCCCCATTCTCATCGACGGGGCTGTAGTGGGACAGGTTGAGAGCTTCAAGTTCCTTGGTGTCCACATCACCAACAAACTATCATGGTCCAAACACACCAAGACAGTTGTGAAGAGGGCACGACAAAGCCTATTCCCCCTCAGGAGACTGAAAAAGTTCTACAGCTGCACCATCGAGAGCATCCTGACTGGTTGCATCACGCCTGGTATGGCAACTGCTCGGCCTCCGACCGCAAGGCACTACAGAGGGTAGTGTGTATGGCCCAGTACATCACTGGGGCCAAGCTTCCTGCCATCCAGGACCTCTATACCAGGCGGTGTCAGAGGAAGGCCCTCAAAATTGTCAGACTCCAGCCACCCTAGTCATAGACTGTTCTCTCTGCTACCGCACGGCAAGCGGTACCGGAGCGCCAAGTCTAGGTCCAAAAGGCTTCTCAACAGCTTCTACCCCCAAGCCATAAGACTCCTGAACAGCTAATCATTGCTACCTGGACTATTGGCAATGATTAGCTGCTGCTAATTAGCTGCTGCTACTCTGTCTATTATTTATGCATAGTCACTTTAACTCTACCCACATGTACATATTACCTCAATTACCTCGACTAGCCACATTGACTCTGCACCGTAGCCAGGCACTTGGTTCTATTTGTGATGCTTAATGCGCTGCAAGTCCTGCCTCTCCCATCTCCTCATTGGTTTTTAGGAGCATATACCCACGTGGGCGATTGAAAGATGAACGGAGGTCCACACTCCATTCCAGTTGTTAGTGGTAATGCACCTTAAAGTTGGTTGCCAACCGCCATATAAAGTCCAAAGAAGAAGAAGCCTGAAGGAGGAGAGATTAACAGAAACGAGCTCTGTTTTGTTTTATTATGTTTTATCTGTGGATTAATTGTCGGAGTAGAGGACTTGTGCATTTCAGGTAAAAAAAAACAACCCAATGTTTATATCCCAGGACAAATTAGCTAGCAACAGCAAGCTAGCTAGCTAAATTGAAATAAATGTTTAATGCTTTCAGACCTGTCCCCAAATTAATATAGCTAGTTGGTTCAGAGTTCGTTTTGATATTTCTACCTGTGTGTCCTGGGTGCGTCTGGTGTGGGTGGACAAGATCAACATGCGCGTGTGCGGTGTGGTCAGCATGTCAGCCTATGTTGGTGCACCCGATACAGAACCAATCAGTCATTATATAATCGAGAACAATCATCAGAAATCAAGCGATATGAATCAGACAGTGGGGTGCCGCCTGACCGACTAGTTGGTCAGAAGGTTCAAATCACGTTACACAGGGTTGCCAACTCGTCAGTAAGGAAAGTAGGTATTGGCTGTCCTAAAA